ACCTAGATTAGTTTACAGACGAGATCGCAACCTTAAAGACATACTTGTCCGAAGCCGACTCCCACCGATCCATACAGCACTTCCTCTTGGGACTACTCAGTGCTCACGCAGCACCTGCAAAACATGTCCTTTCGTTGTCCAGACTTCTTCGGTCAGTTTCCCTAATGGTTTTTTTCAAATTAGGGAACCTTTTACTTGCGAATCCCGCAACGTAATTTATGCAATTATCTGCAAACGATGCAGCATGGCATACATTGGGGAGACTGGCAGGAAGCTAGCTGATCGTTTCCGGGAACACCTCTCTGATATCGACAAGAAGACACTCAAACCAATCCCTCTTCATTTTAATAGCCCTGACCACAGCGGTAAAGATGACATATCTGTCACAGCATTAAAATCTTGCTCTGGCGATCATACTACCCGCCTCACTTTGGAAAATCGCCTTATCCACAGCCTTGGCGTTCTTAGTCCAAGAGGTATCAATATCCAACATACCTTCATCTAAATAGTTCTAATCTTATTACATTTTAAATGTTAATTATTTTATTTTATTTCATATTATTACCATATTCTATTTCTTATCAATATCATTTATGTATCATTAACACTTGCATTTCTTTTATTCCCAGTATTGTGACTATATTTTTTAGCCATCGTTTATTTTATTTTATTTCATTTATTCCGCATCACATTTTTTAAACGTCGCTCACGTCACCCCTTAGAGATCTACATACTCTCCATTCCTTGTTTGTATAGTCCACTTCTGTTTGAAAAAGGCCGCCCGGTCGAAACGTTACGTTGTGTTGTTTTGTGCACGTTTTCCTTTTTCCTATTTTGTTGAGCTTTTTAGTCATATTTCTCTGGAATTCATTGTATTAGCTTGACTGCAGTCACCCCCATAGTTTCCCCGTCTGGATTGTGCGTTTAACTCTTTGAGTCCCAGGGGGTTTTGCACCAGAGGCCCAAGGGGGGTAATATGATTTTGACTTTTAACAAATGCAGCACTTTAAAACAAGCCACACAACTGCAGCTGATGTCCAACATACACATATCATACATAAAATTAAACATAAATGGATAAGGATTAATACTGCTACAACAAACAGTTATACCGTTAGTTAGTTTTTAGTAGAGAAAACAGTGACTTAGTTTGAGAGGTGAGTAAATTATGAACAAGTTTTTTCCACTTACCTAGAAGCTGATCCCAAAATTCTTGATATAGTATATCCAAAATGCATCACAAAGGAAGGTACACCACTTATAAGTATGCACAGCCAATATTAAAACAAAATGTGCAATAGTTGTTGTTCCATAGCAATTTTAAAAACACTACCATAACACGTCAAAATATATTCTCCAGTGGCACAAACAGTGAATTTTCTAAAAACAATTGAATTCCTCACATAGAAAAAAACTGTAGAGGCACTGTAAACATGTCAATCTGTTCATAGATATATATCTATGGTTTTAGATGATATGGATAGTAGTACTAGAAGCGCTGACATTTGGATTAGCTGGTGTCGCGTTACGAGGTGCTTCTCTTGTGTTGCCAAGGCAGAATTAGTCAGTTTTGTTCTCTTAGCAGGAGGTAAATTACGCATACATCCTCATCAAAACTTGACTCGTCAACGGTTTGGGGAAATTTCACGTTTCTACTATCATTATCCAACTCCACATTACTTTAATTGATCCACTGTTTTATCAAATTTGATGATTCTGCAGCAGTAAATCGCTTTGATGGACGTGAAGACGATGACTGATCGGACATATTGTTTTCAGACAATTGTTTGGTAATGTAGTAGACCACACAAATATCGATTTAAAGCGTTAAAAACTCACCAGACCCAAACGAATTTACTCCACGTGTGTTCACTACACACTTGAGAACCGGAAACGAAGTTTAAATTGAGCGAACCGCGTGTAATTACCGATAAGTGGTAAATTAAAAACCGTCACACGTCATGCGCTGCTTGGGCCGCCAAGTAGTAAAAAATGAGCGCGTGATGCGTTCCTTGGGACTCAAAGAGTTAAGGTCGCCACCGGTTCCCCATAGCTTCTCTTTCAATGTGGATCCCCTGGGCCAGATTCACAGTCTTTGCTGGGAGAGGTAAGGGCAGTACTGCAGTATGTGCTCAGGGATTTGTCTTTCTGCTCCACAATCACAGGCAGCAGATTCTTTTATGCCTATCCTGTACAGGTGTGCTCGAAGACCAAAGTGTCAAGTCCGAAGTCTAAAAATGGATGTTTGTTCTTTCCTGTTGAGTTTGTTTATGCTGTCACTCTCTGGTCTGTAATCTCCATTCTGCTTTCTCCACTCCCGCTTGAAAGACTGCTTTAGCGCTGTTTTGGTTTCCTTGTAGCTGTGTGGTGGATAAGGTTGTGAAAGATTACTCCCAGCTTTTGCCAACTCATCTGCTCTCTCATTTCCTTGAATACCACAGTGGGCTGGTATCCACTGCAAGACCAGTTCTGCTTCCTTGGAGAGTAAGCCAATGTTGGTCCTTAGATCTGCAATTAGTTTGTCTTTTTTTTTTGCTTGATAGTGCTTGGAGGACAGACAATGAGTCACTAAGTATAACAATTGTGTGCCCTCTGTGTTCTTGAGTGATGAGATGTTGGACTGCAGAAAGGAGGTAGTTGCCTCAGCTCTGATGTTAGTGCAGATGTCACCTGCTGGTAGAGAGAGAGTTTCTGCTCTACTGCTACGGGGTTTAATGTACATTTCACAACTCCACTTTCTGACTGCTTCTGTAGCAGAGCCGTCGGTAAAAACCTGAGTCCAAGTAGTGTTTGGATACTTCTCATCAAGCATAGCAAGAGCCAGGGTTCTCTGTTGTGTCTCCGTCTGGGCATCTTTTGAAGTGATCCCTGGTACCTTTAGAACTACATTTGCCTTCTCTGGCTTGCTTGTCCATGGTTCTGGCATAAGTTTTTCGCACAGTGCAACATCTCTTGCAAGCAGATCTTGGTGCTGTCTGTACAGTTCTCTAGCAAGGTGGTTGGGGCTCTGACGCTTCAGTCTGTTTTTTGTTCTCTCTTGAAATTTAAAATGCAGTGGGTGACTTTGAAATCGTTTTAATTTCTCATACTGTAAAAGAGTTTTGTATTGTCTTATGAGTTCGAGTGGTTCAGTATCTGCTATCCTCTCTATTTCTCTGATGGGGGTGGTTTTCATGGCTCTGAGAATAATCCTTAATCCCATATTCTGAACCTTGTCCAGTTTTTCCATTGTTGTCTTGGCTGCTGCAGCCCATGCAGTGGAGGCATATTCCATGACTGGCCTGACTGCTCCAGTATATACTTGTTTTAGGATTCTGGATAAGTTGATATAAGTGTAGAAGTTGCAGGGGCCTAAGAAAATGCTTCCACTTATCAGGACTTCTACTTCTCCACAGAGCACACACAACTGAGAGTGTACACTAACACTGAGCAGTAGCATTGAGTACAACAATTATACCAGTTAGGAAACACCATAATTAAACAAATAATTAGCAATACAATGTCAGAAATGTTAAAACATTTATTTTAAAAGGATTAACATTAAAACTATATACAAATTCAGACATTATTTGGAGAAAAAGTATGATTTTGCTTTGCTTTTTGGACTATGAAAAATATTATGCAATGGCGTTTTCTGAAACGATTGAACCAGCCAGCACTACATTTCCAGTCTGTCTGACCTCCAGGAAATGCAAATTCTGGCTCTCCTCCGAATAACGGCCACATGTTACGGCGGCCAAAAACACACCCTGACAGGGCCTCATTAGGTCGTTTGTTGTAAACATTCAAAAACTTGAACTCGAAAATAATGAGAAACAAAAAAAGGGAAAATGATGAAATCGACTGCTTAGCGATAATTGAGGCCTTTATATCTCAATATAGTGGCACAGAAATTGCAAATAGTGCCCGAAAATCTGCTCTTTGTGGCTGTGGCGCCATTGAAACTTGGCTAAATATGATAGGTGCCGCATTGGTAACGCAGTTTTCACAGCCGAGAGTATCTCCCGCGCCGCTACGCCAATATAAAAGAAATAAATGCATTATGCATGTAAACTGTTTTAGGATCAGTATTGCAACAGTCACATATAACAGTGACACCACATTAGAGGATCTTAGACACAGGATAATTTTTTTTACACATGCAGTGTTGTTCTTACCTTACTTTTTTTACTTGTTCACCAACACTGCTATCCATTTCTAAGAATTCACATGCCTTTCCATTCAGTTTAGCATCAGCTAGTCTTTTTTTTGGAGACAGATTCTAAATACTTTTTTAAAAATGATAATTATTGTCTGATGCATCAAATTTAAGAATGGCCTAATAAAAAATATATTTGGTTCTGATGCATGCAGCAGTGACTGGTAAACAAGGAAGAACTTATTTCTTGGAAACGTTACACTAAACCATGTGTGAATTTGTGGATCCCTGTAGACCACTAATCGTTGATGTTGGGTTTTTGTGTAATTTCCATTGCTGTCACTACACTGAGAAACTGGAAAAAATGTCTTTTGTCATTGGCTGATCGTGTGGCAAAGAAGAAGCAAAATTTGGCAGGAAATAAGGAGAAGGGAGACAAGAGTTTCTGTGGGTAATCTGTGTTTCTGTGGGATGCTGAGCATCCAAGATCCAACATGTGAGGGCAGAAGGGGTCCTGAAATCTCATGGACATTTTGTGGATGATTTGTGTTAACCTGAGCTGCTCTTACTAGTTAACTAGTTAACTCAGCTGTTGCCATGGGCTGGCTGTGCCTCCCTGAAGCTTAGTGGAACTATCTCCTGTGTAGGCAGAAAGATGTCAGCTAACTTTCTGGTCAGTTGTAAAAATTCCCTGAAGGGTTGTCAGCTGTTTGTGTTAGACCGCAAAAGTGTCAAGCAGATACCCACAGTATTGTCACTGACAGATGTGTATCTTTGAGTGAAAGAGATGTTGTCCCTGTCTGAGTATCGGTTGTATCTTTATTACAGACGCATGTAACAGAGTCAGCCAGAGTTTGTCTTCATGAAAGTCCGTGTGAAGCTTGGCTCTCGAAGCCAAACAATTCTGCTTGAGCAGCAGGATCCAGCTAATGTTCGACTGCAGGATCTCAGACAGTCAGTGAGCCGGGAGTTTCACCTACAGGATGTGTAAGTGTACAGATAATAGGCTCATAGTCTGCAAGCAAAAACTGACAGCCCTCAGGCAACAGCTGACAATCCCTAAACAACAGCTGACAATCCCCAAACAACAGCTGAAAATCCCCATCAACAGCTGACAATCCCCATCAACAGCTGACAATCCCCAAACAACAGCTGACAATCTCCAAGCAACAATGGACAATCCGCAAACACCTGGTCTGGTGTGTCAGACATGAACTATCCAGACACAAGACACACGCCAGGCCTGGTATGTCAGACATGAATTATCTAGAGACATGACACAAGCCAGGCCTGGTATGTCAGACATGAACTATCTAGATACATGACACGGGCCTGGTCTGGTGTGTCAGACATGAACTATCCAGACACAAGACACAAGCCAGGCCTGGTATGTCAGACATGAACTATCTAGACACAAGACACACGCCTGGTCTGGTGTATCAGACATGAACTATCCAGACACAAGACACAAGCCAGGCCTGGTGTATCAGACATGAACTATCCAGACACAAGACACAAGCCAGGCCTGGTATGTCAGACATTAACTATCTAGACACAAGACACATACCTGGTCTGTTGTATCAGACATGAACTATCCAGACACAAGACACAAGCCAGGCCTGGTATGTCAGACATGAACTATCCAGACACAAGACACAAGCCAGGCCTGGTATGTCAGACATGAACTATCTAGACACAAAACACAAGCCAGGTCTGTTGTGTCAGACATGAACTATCCAGACACAAGACACAAGCCAGGCCTTGTATGTCAGACATGAACTATCTAGACACAAGCCAGGTCTGGTCTGTCAGACATGAACTATCTAGACACAAGACACACGCCTGGTCTGTTGTGTCAGACATGAACTATCTAGACACATGACAGACGCCTGGTCTGGTATGTCAGACATGAACTATCTAGACACAAGACACACGCCTGGTCTGGTATGTCAGACATGAACTATCTAGACACAAGACACATACCTGGTCTGTTGTGTCAGACATGAACTATCCAGACACAAGACACAAGCCAGGCCTGGTGTATCAGACATGAACTACCTAGACACAAGACACAAGCCAGGTCTGTTGTGTCAGACATGAACTATCCAGACACAAGACACAAGCCAGGCCTGGTATGTCAGACATGAACTATCTAGACACAAGACACACGCCTGGTCTGGTATGTCAGACATGAACTATCTAGACACAAGCCAGGTCTGTTGTGTCAGACATGAACTATCTAGACACATGACAGACGCCTGGTCTGGTATGTCAGACATGAACTATCTAGACACAAGACACACGCCTGGTCTGGTATGTCAGACATGAACTATCTAAACACAAGTCACAAGACAGGTCTGTTGTGTCAGACATGAACTATCTAGACACCAGACACAAGCCAGGTCTGTTGTGTCAGACATGAACTATCTAGACACAAGACACACACCTAGTCTGTTGTGTCAGACATGAACTATCTAGACACAAGACACAAGCCAGGTCTAGTCTGTCAGACATGAACAATCTAGACACAAGACAGGCCTGGTATGTCAGACATGAACTATCTAGACACAAGACACACGCCTGGTCTGTTGTATCAGACATGAACTATCTAGACACAAGACACAAGCCAGGTCTGGTCTGTCAGACATGAACTATCTAGACACAAGACACAAGCCAGGTCTGGTGTGTCAGACATGAACTATATAGATACATGACACGCGCCTGGTCTGGTGTGTCAGACATGAACTATCCAGACACATGACACAAGCCAGGCCTGGTGTATTAGACATGAACTATCCAAAAACATGACACACGCCAGGCCTGGTATGTCACATGTTGGAAAACTAACCTTGGTCTCCCCAAACAAAGAAGGTCATATTTCATTCATAAGTTTGTTGTGCTGCTTTTCCTCCCTGCAAGTTACAGGTGTGCGGCTCTGTTGTTTGCTTTCTGGGTTGTCTTGCATTTACTTTTTTATTCTGAGAAAGAGAATGCTTGTGACATGGGTTGCAGCACCCTTTAGGAAGTTTTTTTTAATACCCAGTTTGTCCATGTTTTTGGAGTGTTAAAAACGCTGGCATGCTGAAATAAAAAACACGCAATATCAATGGCATTGCGGGAAAACTCCAGCAACCTTATGTCAAGGTAACATGCTCAAGGTCCACCAATCAGAAGTGAGCTAGTGTTTAACACTACGTAAATGGGGAGACCAACGTTAGTTTTACCCACATGTGAACTATCTTGACATTTTTACCCCAACAGGGATTTCCAGTTGAGCCTGAACAAGCAAGATGCCCTCTCTGGTGAGGACCAGACTTTGGATGCCTTTGGGATCGTCTCTGGTGATCTCCTACACATCATCGGCTCCAACTTATCTCAGGTGACACCTAATGGTGCTCATTAGCCCAGTTTTGTTCACTCTTTCAAGATGGAACTTTTTCTGGGGTTTGGACAGAATTAATTTTAAACTGAATTGTTTTAATGCACCTTGGATGACAGGGTCTTATGTGGTTATGGGACGGTGTATAGAATAGTGAAGGTCCATGTTTATACATGTATGACCGATATTTGACCCACAGTTCAGCCAGATAAATACACAACATCAGTAAATCATGACTGAGTGAATGCTTTGCTTTCGTATTCCTGAGTCCTGCATGGATTCCATGTCTTGGAGTTAAATACCATTCAGAGAAACTAGATTGTATTTGCCTGATTTATTCTTATTATCTTTGTCTGTCCCTTATAGGTTTTTAGACCAAGCTGCTGTGATCTCACATCAAGTATATTTAATTTATGCTAGCTCTGATTCTGTGAGTCTGTGAGCCGAAATTATGCATCATGGAATCTTTGAGGCAATTACTCTAAATATTTTGGATTTTATGACCATGTTTGTGCAGCTTGTGAAATCTTAGAACAGGGGGGGGGGGGGGGGGGGGGGTGTCACATTTATGTAGTATATGAAAGTTTTGATTACTGATTTAAGAGTCGACATCATAACACACCGGGCATACCCATAGGTGCTCCGTCTTTCACAGCATATTCTTAAGGTGTAGATGCTAACTGTTCCCATAGCACACTGATTATACACACGTCGTTCTCTTCCTCTTGTACATCCCTCCTTGCCAGATCTACACTTAATTCATTGTTCGCTCATTCTTGCACATGTTATTTCATCTAATCTCGTGTCATCTGCAACATTCTTTCATATATGATCTTTAAAATATCTCCCTTGTCCAGTACAAGTGTTCCCATAGCTTTCTCTTTGTAGCCAGAATATCCGCTCGTTCATTCCCTGGCACTCCTGCATATCCCGGACAGTATATCCACTTGATTCCCTGCAGTGTTGGCCTAATAATGCATGCCATACACTCATGCTGAATTACTTGAAGCTTTCGTTGTGCCGACTGAGAATCAAACACAATAATTCCTCTGGTAACTTTGTGTTTTTTTTCTGCTATCCAGTTCAGAGCTGCAGTGACTGCTTACATTTCCATCCTCATGCTTGAAATTGTAGATAAAAAAGCTCCATTTTGTTCTGCCACAATTTGTCCCTTTATTCTAGCTGAAAATCCCCAGCCAGATCTTACACCCAAATAAACAGAACCATCGATGTACACTAGTGCATCATTTAGCCTAGCCTTTTTATCAGTTGATGTACCTCTAATTTTGCCATACCGTTACACCACTCTCTACATTCTCTTCCTAACGTGGTAATGACCTGATAGAATCTGCTGTTGTGGGTATTCGTGTTGACCCATTTCTGCCCCCTGTGTAGTTGCTTGACTGAGGCCGCCGACTCGATGGTATCTCCAGCTGGTGCCATCCATAACTTTCCTCTTTAATCATTCAGATTAGCATGTAGCGGAAGCCTTTCATCAATGGTAACCTGCATATAGGCCTTGGCTTACATCAGTGAGTCTCCACTTGACCCATTCAGCCCATGCATGTATCTCATTGTTTTAACTGGTGTATCTTGTGTGCAGCCCAAGACAATTCTCATTCCTTCATTTTGAATTCTTTCAACCTTTGTACACTGTGAAGTAGATAGGGTTAATATTCCTAGACCATAGTCAGCTACTGAAAGGACCAAATGGTGGAAAGTAAGACCAGTAGTTTCTGTTCCATGTGTGTTGCCAGCATCGTCTTTAGTGCTGCTAGGCCACGCTTGCATTTGTTCACAGTTTGCTGCACGTGATATTTGTAGGACAGACTGCGATCAAATGTCAAACCCAAGTATTTCAGCTTATCCCTTCTTTCAACATTAAAACCCTTTATGGATATGCTGGGCAAGTCTTCCTTTCCTGTTATTTAAAGAGCACCACAAAACACTGGCCTTCTCTGGGTTCACCCTTGACCCTGTCTTCACACCACTCCATCATCTCATGTAAAGCACTTTGCAAGTCACTGATCATGGCGTGCCTGTCTGACACACTTCGATACATTAGGACATCTGCAAATGTCAAAGTTCGTCCTGGTCCAGGGAGCTGAATTTTGGCCAAACTTGCTGTATATATGTTGAACAAGACAAGTGACAGTGATGATCCATGTGTATTGGATCTGATCTCCGTGTTCCAAAACAAAATACCACTGTTCTTTCCAACAATGCTGCCCCCATCCAATTAGCTAACCAGGGGTTCACACCACAGTCCATCGAGCACTGCATAAGATATGTGAAATCCACGCCATTATGGGCATCCTCAAGATCTATCGCAACAGCGATTGTTTCTGGCTTTCACTGAAATCCTTCATACACATCATATGCGAACGTTCCAGCATTGTCCCATGTTGTCTTTGATGGCCCATAGCTACCCAGGGTGTCCTGTAGCATGTCCTTTCTGTCTAAGTTTAACAGCACTTTCTTTACCACCAGTTTGATTAGCAGTTTGCCCTACACATTTTCTAGGGTCTATAACTGCTGAGCTAATCAGAGCGATCTCTGCCTGGTTTTGAAAATGGTTTAAGAAACTGTGTAATCTGGTACAATTTATGTTTGGATACTATCATTAAAATCCTTCACCACTTGTAGATTTCATAGTTACTTAATTGTTTGATGTGGTCATAGCGTACACAGTCTGGCCTGGGAGCATTATTTCTGCTGCCTCACAATGCCACCTGCATGTCGATGTCAGTCTGTATGACAGTAATTTGAGTATTGATTCAGACTTTTTTTTATCTGACAGTTATGTTTTGACTAATACTTCATTTAACTAATTCTAGTTATTCAAAACAGGTTCATACAAATTCATTTTCCTAGCTAACAAAACACTTTTAGAGTGTTTATGTCGACAACCACTATAGCGGCAAAGTGCTGTTCTGTTGCTGACTGATCAGCGATATGTCTGGACACTATAGCGGCAAAGTGCTGTTCTGTTGCTGACTATTCAGCCATATGTCTGGACACTATAGCTGCAAAGTGCTGTTCTGTTGCTGACTGATCAGCCATATGTCTGGACACTATAGCGGTAGAGTGCTGTTCTGTTGCTGACTGATCAGCCATATGTCTGGACACTATAGCGGTAAAGTGCTGTTTTGTTGCCATCTGATCAGCCATATGTCTGGACACTATAGCGGCAAAGTGCTGTTCTGTTGCTGACTGATCAGCGATATGTCTGGACACTAAAGCGGCAAAGTGCTGTTCTGTTACTGACTGATCAGTGATATGTCTGGACACTATAGCAGTAAAGTGCTGTTCTGTTGCTGACTGATCAGTGATATGTCTGGACACTATAGCTGCAAAGTGCTGTTCTGTTGCTGACTGATCAGTGATATGTCTGGACACTATAGCGGCAAAGTGCTGTTCTGTTGCTGACTGATCAGCGATATGTCTGGACACTATAGCTGCAAAGTGCTGTTCTGTTGCTGACTGATCAGCGATATGTCTGGACACTATAGCGGCAAAGTGCTGTTCTGTTGCTGACTGATCAGTGATATGTCTGGACACTATAGCGGTAAAGTGCTGTTCTGTTGCTGACTGATCAGCGATATGGGTAAAGTGCTGTTCTGTTGCTGACTGATCAGTGATATGTCTGGACACTATAGCGGTAAAGTGCTGTTCTGTTGCTGACTGATCAGCGATATGGGTAAAGTGCTGTTCTGTTGCTGACTGATCAGCGATATGTCTGGACACTATAGCTGCAAAGTGCTGTTCTGTTGCTGACTGATCAGCGATATGTCTGGACGCTATAGCGGCAAAGTGCTGTTCTGTTGCTGACTGATCAGTGATATGTCTGGACACTATAGCGGTAAAGTGCTGTTCTGTTGCTGACTGATCAGCGATATGGGTAAAGTGCTGTTCTGTTGCTGACTGATCAGTGATATGTCTGGACACTATAGCGGTAAAGTGCTGTTCTGTTGCTGACTGATCAGCGATATGGGTAAAGTGCTGTTCTGTTGCTGACTGATCAGCGATATGTCTGGACACTATAGCGGTAAAGTGCTGTTCTGTTGCTGACTGATCAGTGATATGTCTGGACACTATAGCGGCAAAGTGCTGTTCTGTTGCTGACTGATCAGCCAAATGTCTGGACACTATAGCGGTAAAGTGCTGTTCTGTTGCTGACTGATCAGTGATATGTCTGGACACTATAGCGGCAAAGTGCTGTTCTGTTGCTGACTGATCAGTGATATGTCTGGACACTATAGCGGCAAAGTGCTGTTCTGTTGCTGACTGATCAGCCATATGTCTGGACACTGTAGTGGCGAAGTGCTGTTCTGTTGCTGACTGATCAGTGATATGTCTGGACACTATAGCGGCAAAGTGCTGTTCTGTTGCTGACTGATCAGCGATATGTCTGGACACTATAGCGGCAAAGTGCTGTTCTGTTGCTGACTGATCAGCGATAAGGGTAAAGTGCTGTTCTGTTGCTGACTGATCAGTGATATGTCTGGACACTATAGCGGTAAAGTGCTGTTCTGTTGCTGAGTGATCAGCGATATGTCTGGACACTATAGCGGTAAAGTGCTGTTTTGTTGCTGACTGATCAGCGATATGTCTGGACACTATAGCAGTAAAGTGCTGTTCTGTTGCTGAATGATCAGCGATATGTCTGGACACTATAGCGGTAAAGTGCTGTTTTGTTGCCATCTGATCAGCCATATGTCTGGACACTATAGCGATAAAGTGCTGTTCTGTTGCTGACTGATCCGCCATATGTCTGGACACTATAGCTGCAAAGTGCTGTTCTGTTGCTGACTGATCAGTGATATGTCTGGACACTATAGCGGCAAAGTGCTGTTCTGTTGCTGACTGATCAGTGATATGTCTGGACACCATAGCGGTAAAGTGCTGTTTTGTTGCTGACTGATCAGTGATATGTTTGGACACTATAACGGTAAAGTGCTGTTCTGTTGCTGACTGATCAGTGATATGTCTGGACACTATAGCGGTAAAGTGCTGTTTTGTTGCCATCTGATCAGTCATATGTCTGGACACTATAGCGGTAAAGTGCTGTTCTGTTGCTGAATGATCAGCCATATGTCTGGACACTATAGCGGCAAAGTGCTGTTCTGTTGCTGACTGATCAGCCATATGTCTGGACACTATAGCGGCAAAGTGCTGTTCTGTTGCTGACTGATCAGTGATATGTCTGGAAAGAGTTAAATTATCAGGTAACCTGATTAGGGTCTGAAAATAGCATTTCGATGTTTCAAAACATTTAGCTTTTGAAAATATTTATCACTAACTGGCATGGAATGATTAACTGCCATGTTGTGAAGCAGCCAAACATGTGATAACTAACTAGCAGTGGTGGATAATAATTCAGTCTTCATGCTTGACTTGCAGGCCGTTCAAGTAGGACACGAGGAACAGATAAACAACAGAGTTCAACCTTTAGCTCCGTACTCAAACCATGACTCAGCTACCAGCCACCAGACACAGACCATATTAGTAGATCCACGAGAACGCTCACCAGTGTCTTCTTCATCATCCAGGTCGAGGACCTCAGGAGTCGTAAGTTTGTGTGTCAGCAGATGTGAGTGACATCTTTCTCAAATGAACAAATGAAACATTTGACATACCAAATTTCAGTAACGGTATAAGTCACCTAACATTAGCTCCTTCTATACTGTATTGAAGAGGGAAATTACTCCATGTTTTTACAATCGTGGTCTACACTGTTCTGTAGAGGGAAGTTACTCCATGTTTTTACAATCGTGGTCTATACTGTTCTGTAGAGAAAACTTACTCCATGTTTTTACAATCGTGGTCTATACTGTTCTGTAGAGGGAAGTTACTCCATGTTTTTACAATCGTGGTCTATACTGTTCTGTAGAGGGAAGTTACTCCATGTTTTTACAATCGTGGTCTATACTGTTCTGTAGATTGATGTTACTCTATGTTTTTACAATTGTGGTCTATACTGTTCTGTAGAGGGAAGTTACTCCATGTTTTTACAATTGTGGTCTATACTGTTCTGTAGAGGGATGTTACTCTATGTTTTTACAATCGTGTTCTATACTGTTCTGTAGAAGGAAGTTACTCCATGTTTTTACAATCGTGGTCTATACTGTTCTGTAGAGGGAAGTTACTCCATGTTTTTACAATCGTGGTCTATACTGTTCTGTAGAGGGAAGTTACTCCATGTTTTTACAATTGTGATCTATACTGTTCTGTAGAGGGAAGTTACTCCATGTTTTTACAATCGTGGTCTATACTGTTCTGTAGAGAGATGTTACTCTATGTTTTTACAATTGTGGTCTACACTTTTGTGTAGAGGGAAAGGTTACACGCTGTCTTTACAGTCCTGCTCTACCCTGTTATGTAGAGGGAATGTTAGTCTTTTTAATCCTGGTCTGTCCTGTTTTGTAGAGGAAAGGGACCTTAGAGTCTTGTAATGAAGTAGAGCAGATAGAACAGAATAGTTTAGCAGGAGTGGTTCTAGTAAAAATGGCGACAGAATGAGTGATTTTAAGAGAATAATGAAGCATGAGAAAAGAAATGGATACCTTGAGTCGAGAAGAGAATTTCTAATAGTAAGAACTATTTCTTGGATCTCTAAGGAGTTCCTAATATCATGTCTGCACTGGGTTGTTTATCTTGTGCTGGGACTGTACATCTGTATTTCACAATATATGTTGTATTTGTGGTAATACTCTATGTCTTTTTATGACAGTAAAAGTTGTTTTATTGGGAGCTGGGACATCTTCATCTCTGTGTGATGGTCTATGTTGTTCTATTCTTACAGGATGTTAACAATGCCATGGATGTCAGTACTGACAAGCATATAGATCAACATGATCTGTCCACAGTGTCGGACATCAATAGGTAAGTCTATGTAAGTGTGTACATGCATGCTTGTGTGTGTGTGTGTGTGTGTGTGTTTCCTGTGCATGTGTGTGTGCGTGTGTGTGGTTGGGGGTGGGGGGGGGGGGGTTGAAAGGCTGGTGGCTGTCCCCACATTTACTGCCAGATGACAAGACAGTCAGGTTGCCATGCAAACTACAGCCAGCACTAAAAGATACCTGTACATCCTGGCGAAGACAAGGAGAGAGGAATTCAACCTGTGAGACATGTTTACATGGCGTGCTAGAGAAGACCAGATACCTGTACATCCTGGCGAAGACAAGGAGAGAGGAATTCAATCTGTGAGACATGTTTACATGGCGTGCTAGAGAAGTCCAGATACCTGTACATCCTGGCGAAGACAAGGAGAGAGGAATTCAATCTGTGAGACATGTTTACATGGCGTGCTAGAGAAGACCAGATACCTGTACATCCTGACGAAGACAAGGAGAGACGAATTCAATCTGTGAGACATGATTACATGGCGTGCTAGAGAAGACCAGATACCTGTACATCCTGGCGAAGACAAGGAGAGAGGAATTCAATCTGTGAGACATGTTTACATGGCGTGCTAGAGAAGACCAGATACCTGTACATCCTGGCGAAGACAAGGAGAGAGGAATTCAATCTGTGAGACATGTTTACATGGTGTGCTAGAGAAGACCAGATACCTGTACATCCTGGCGAAGACAAGGAGAGAGGAATTCAATCTGTGAGACATGTTTACATGGCGTGCTAGAGAAGTCCAGATACCTGTACATCCTGGCGAAGACAAGGAGAGAGGAATTCAATCTGTGAGACATGTTTACATGGCGTGCTAGAGAAGACCAGATACCTGTACATCCTGACGAAGACAAGGAGAGACGAATTCAATCTGTGAGACATGATTACATGGCGTGCTAGAGAAGACAGATCTGACCAGATTCTGAAACTTATCTTTACGTACATTTCTTATGAAGCCAGTAACACAAATATCTTGCCACACAGATACCTCATTTCTCATCACTGACACCCCATTTCTCATCACTGACACCTCATTTCCTATCCCTGACACATTGTTTCTCATCACAAGTGCGCGCGTGCGCGCACACATACACACACATGCACGCACGCACGTACGCACGCATGCACACAGGCAAGCAGGCAGACACAGACAGACAAAGACAGTGCTGTCACAACTGACAGAGAGAAACTTTGTTCTGGTCCCTGTCAGGAACCTATAAGCCGCTGTCTGTGATGAGCTATAGATGAGTACATTTGGATTTAGTCTGGACATTCCAGAATGCATGTTTTGGGTGGGAAATCAGCAGGTCATGATGTCACTGCCAAACAGTATGACATGGCGTCTGCTATTTCATTTCACCTGCCAGGTATATGCAGGAGCCACTGGTCATCAGGGAATCCACGGAACACCAGGTGCCAGTCTTACTGAGTCAGTTGTATTCGTCTGCTGGCTGTAGTAGTGACACCGATGCCTTGTGGGTGGCTGTTCACACGCTGATGTTGGAGTCTGGGTTCGTACCCTTGCAGGTATCGTTATTCCATGAGTTGCTGGTTAGTCTTGCATTTAGATCAGGATTGTCTCACCAATTGTTACATTTTCTCTTGTCTTTTTTTTTCTCTGAAGTGTTCCGTTTCAGGAATTGCTGACCAGGATTGACACTTAGTGACTCAAAGAGTTAAATTTTGATGCGAATCCAACAGGAGAAAATCAAGAAACCAAGTTCAGCTGTGTGATTCAGTTTATTTTTTTACAAATTAACCAGCACTGTGGTGTAATGGCTAAGCACTCGTCTGCGGATCTGAAGGTCACAGGTTCAGATCCAAATGAAGTCGGACTTTTTAACAAAAATGATCTACGGTTCAAGGTCAACCAGTGTTGCACTACTGTCTTCTGTGTGTATGTTGATGGCACACCCAGGTTGTTGCGCAACTGTCTTCTGTGTGTATGTTGATGGCACACCCAGGTCAACCAGTGTTGCACAACTGTCTTCTGTGTGTATGTTGATGGCACACCCAGGTCAACCAGTGTTGCACAACTGTCTTCTGTGTGTATGTTGATGGCACACCCAGGTCAACCAGTGTTGCACAACTGTATTGTGTGTGTATGTTGATGGCACACCCAGGTCAACCAGTGTTGCACAACTGTATTGTGTGTGTATGTTGATGGCACACCCAGGTCAACCAGTGTTGCACAACTGTCTTCTGTGTGTGTGTTGATGGCACACCCAGGTCAACCAGTGTTGCACAACTGTATTGTGTGTGTATGTTGATGGCACACCCAGGTCAACCAGTGTTGCACAACTGTCTTCTGTGTGTATGTTGATGGCACACCCAGGTCAACCAGTGTTGCACAACTGTATTGTGTGTGTATGTTGATGGCACACCCAGGTCAACCAGTGTTGCACAACTGTCTTCTGTGTGTATGTTGATGGCACACCCAGGTCAACCAGTGTTGCACAACTGTATTGTGTGTGTATGTTGATGGCACACCCAGGTCAACCAGTGTTGCACAACTGTCTTCTGTGTGTATGTTGATGGCACACCCAGGTCAACCAGTGTTGCACAACTGTATTGTGTGTGTATGTTGATGGCACACCCAGGTCAATCAGTGTTGCACAACTGTCTTCTGTGTGTATGTTGATGGCACACCCAGGTCAACCAGTGTTGCACAACTGTATTGTGTGTGTATGTTGATGGCACACCCAGGTCAACCAGTGTTGCACAACTGTATTGTGTGTGTATGTTGATGGCACACCCAGGTCAACCAGTGTTGCACAACTGTCTTCTGTGTGTATGTTGATGGCACACCCAGGTCAACCAGTGTTGCACAACTGTATTGTGTGTGTATGTTGATGGCACACCCAGGTCAACCAGTGTTGCACAACTGTCTTCTGTGTGTATGTTGATGGCACACCCAGGTCAACCAGTGTTGCACAACTGTATTGTGTGTGTATGTTGATGGCACACCCAGGTCAACCAGTGTTGCACAACTGTCTTCTGTGTGTATGTTGATGGCACACCCAGGTCAACCAGTGTTGCACAACTGTATTGTGTGTGTATGTTGATGGCACACCCAGGTCAACCAGTGTTGCACAACTGTCTTCTGTGTGTATGTTGATGGCACACCCAGGTCAACCAGTGTTGCACAACTGTATTGTGTGTGTATGTTGATGGCACACCCAGGTCAACCAGTGTTGCACAACTGTCTTCTGTGTGTATGTTGATGGCACACCCAGGTTGTTGCACAACTGTCTTCTGTGTGTATGTTGATGGCACACCCAGGTCAACCAGTGTTGCACAACTGTCTTCTGTGTGTATGTTGATGGCACACCCAGGTTCATCTTTAGTTTGCTACAGGAGGAGTCAGTTGAAGAATATAGACGAGGCGAAAGATGGTCGTGTCGATAGTGGTGATGATGATGATGTCCTGCTTGCTGCATGCTTCTCACGTGGCTCAGATGCTTGTATAATAAAATGTCTGGAAACAACCCTTCTTCTGTGTACTGTCTTTATTGTTATACCTCAGCAATGTCACAAACAAACACATCAATGATATTCTGAATGACCGCTGTTTTAGCTCTGTGGTTACATACTCTTGAGGCCACGTTGTGTTCTTCCTCTCTAGTTACTTTGTTAACTGGTTCTAGTGTCTGTAACTGCCACCCGGCTTCTAGTGCTGTCTGGTGCTAACAGCTTTATCGTCGACTCTAACATCTCAATAGTGTTTCTACCTAATGTGTCTCTGTTGTCTCTGTAGTTCTTTGTTTTGTTTTATGTCTCTTATCTAGTGTCTATCTTTGAGGCTCCATGTGACTGGCTCCTCCCTTTCTGTCTCGAGGACTTAAGATTTAAGATTCTCTTCCATGAGGGTCAATAGTACTAGTCCCTCCTCTTGTAAGTCTTGTATACTGAAGGTTTTCTTTGATGGTCCATGTTACTAGTCCCTTCTCTTCTAAGTCTGGTAGACTGAAGGTTTTCTTTGATGGTCCATATTACTAGTCCCTTCTCTTCTAAGTCTGGTAGACTGAAGGTTTTCTTTGATGGTCCATGTTACCAGTCCCTCCTCTTCTAAGTCTGGTAGACTGAAGGTTTTCTTTGATGGTCCATATTACTAGTCCCTTCTCTTCTAAGTCTGGTAGACTGAAGGTTTTCTTTGATGGTCCATGTTACCAGTCCCTCCTCTTCTAAGTCTGGTAGACTGAAGGTTTTCTTTGATGGTCCATATTACTAGTCCCTCCTCTTGTAAGTCTTGTATACTGAAGGTTTTCTTTGATGGTCCATATTACTAGTCCCTCCTCTTCTAAGTCTTGTATACTGAAGGTTTTCTTTGATGGTCCATGTTACCAGTCCCTCCTCTTCTAAGTCTTGTATACTGAAGGTTTTCTTTGATCGTCCATGTTACCAGTCCCTCCTCTTCTAAGTCTTGTATACTGAAGGTTTTCTTTGATGGTCCATGTTACCAGTCCCTCCTCTTCTAAGTCTGGTAGACTGAAGGTTTTCTTTGATGGTCCATGTTACCAGTCCCTCCTCTTCTAAGTCTTGTATACTGAAGGTTTTCTTTGATGGTCCATGTTACCAGTCCCTCCTCTTCTAAGTCTTGTATACTGAAGGTTTTCTTTGATGGTCCATGTTACCAGTCCCTCCTCTTGTAAGTCTTGTATACTGAAGGTTTTCTTTGATGGTCCATGTTACCAGTCCCTCCTCTTCTAAGTCTGGTAGACTGAAGGTTTTCTTTGATGGTCCATGTTACCAGTCCCTCCTCTTCTAAGTCTGGTAGACTGAAGGTTTTCTTTGATGGGCCATGTTACCAGTCTCTCCTTTTCTAAGTCTTGTATACTGAAGGTTTTCTTTGATGGTCCATGTTACCAGTCCCTCCTCTTCTAAGTCTTGTATACTAAGGGTTTTCTTTGATGGTCCATGTTACCAGTCCCTTCTCTTCTAAGTCTGGTAGACTGAAGGTTTTCTTTGATGGTCCATATTACTAGTCCCTTCTCTTCTAAGTCTGGTAGACTGAAGGTTTTCTTTGATGGTCCATGTTACTAGTCCCTTCTCTTCTAAGTCTGGTAGACTGAAGGTTTTCTTTGATGGTCCATATTACTAGTCCCTTCTCTTCTAAGTCTGGTAGACTGAAGGTTTTCTTTGATGGTCCATATTACTAGTCCCTTCTCTTCTAAGTCTGGTAGACTGAAGGTTTTCTTTGATGGTCCATGTTACTAGTCCCTTCTCTTCTAAGTCTGGTAGACTGAAGGTTTTCTTTGATGGTCCATGTTACTAGTCCCTTCTCTTCTAATTCTGGTAGACTGAAGGATTACCCGTGTGATTTCTTACTCATTATTTATACTGAGATGCTGGAATGTGTGATATTTGTTTTCTACTCATTTTGACTGCTTTTAGAATGTTCTAGTTTGGCTCAACTTGTTTTTCTGTGTGCATTCTCACGTGAGATTTTGTAATTGCATTTGGATTGCATCAGATAGTCTGCACCAAAGTATACTAATTGGATTGACAGTTGTCCTTCTATCATCATCATCAGTTCTCGTTATGCCTAGTGGCACATGAGGCTTCAGAGAGGACTTTCCCTGCTTTCCTGTCCTGTGCAATCTTTAGTGCAGTTTTCCATGTCAAAGATGCCGCACTCAGGTCACTTTCCATCGTTCGTCTCCATGTTGTTTTTGGGCGCCCCTGTTTTCTCTTTCCCTCTGGTGTCCATGTGAGAGCTGTTTTGGCGGGTATTTCAGAAGTCATTCTCATAACGTGGCCAATCCATTTCCATCTTCTCTTGGTAATCATACTGTCTAAAGTTTCTTGGTTTGTGGCTTGAAGTAGTTTAGTGTTTGAGATTGTATCTGGCCAGAAAATTTTGATAATTCTATGTAGACATGTGTGGTGGAAGGAGGACAGCTTTTGTGCATCCTTTTTGGTCATTCTCCAGCATTCCGCTCCATAAAGAAGAACTGGCAAAATGATGCTCTTGTAGAGTCGGAGTTTCATTCCTCTGCAGTAATTGTTGGATTTCCAGATTTGCCTCATCCTTCCAAAAGCAGCTCTAGCTTTGTTCAGAAGTGACTGTATGTCTTCCTCTGTTCCTCCCAGTAGGGACACCACACTGCCAAGATACGTGAAATGTTATACATTTTCAAGTGATTGGTTACTTATGGTCACTGGTTGTTCGTTTGGACTGTTTGTCATGATCTTAGATTTCTTTGTATTTATTCTCAGTCCCACCATTTCTGTTGTGCAGTTTAGTCTGTTACTTTTCTCTTGTATATGTTCATGTTTATGTGATAGGAGTGCTATATCATCTGCAAAATCAAGGTCCTCAAGCATGGTGAATGAAGTCCATCGTATGCCTCTTAATGTCCTGTCTACTGTGTTCTTTAGTATCCAATCAGTCACAAGGTTGAAGAGGAGAGATGACATAACACATCCCTGTCTTACACCCGTCTTTACTGGGAAAGATGTATTGTAATTTTTTATACTGCAGGAAAAGTCTTTATAGAAGAGAGCAATTATGTTGACTATTTTTTTCTGGAATTCCATAATGTCGTAAAATTTTCCACAGACCGTCTCTATGGACGCTGTCAAAAGCTTTCTCAAAGTCCACAAAATTAATATATATACTTCTCTGCCATTTGTTGCATTGTTCTAAAATGTTACGTATGGCGAAGATGTGCTCAGTTGTTCCTCTGCCCTTCCTAAATCCTGCTTGTTCCACTCGTAGGCATTTATCTACTCCTTTTTCAAGCCGCATTATGATGATTTTACAAAATATTTTGCTTGGTACTGAGAGTAGAGTAATTCCCCTCCTTCTATGACCTTCTAGAAAGTCACTACGATACGGCTCTCATTCTTTGATATGGCACGTCAACGAGTACATCAGATGCTATTAATATAACTAGGTTATTCATTTGCAAATACCTCTCTGCACTTAATGGTTTTAGAAAGAAATGTCCTGATTACTAAGACCTGTTGAATTCAGTGCCTACAACTAATACGCAATATCCTACCTCCTGACAAACAAGTGATGACATCTCCGTTACACCAGGTAGGGACTGGGAATTCAAAGCAACCAGTATGATATTGACCACATAACCCACCAAGTGATGACATCTCCCTGTTACACCAGGTAGGGACTGGGAATTCAAAGCAACCAGTATGATATTGACCACATAACCCACCAAGTGATGACATCTCCCTGTTACACCAGGTAGGGACTGGGAATTCAAAGCAACCAGTATGATATTGACCATATAACCCACCAAGTGATGATTGGTTTTCTAGCCCTATATACCCAGTACACCTGATGGTGTGGAAAAGGGTTCTTTACTGTTGATCCAGTGCCTGCTCCATGTTGATGATGATGGTTGTAGTACAGTTTCACATGACCCCTGGCCTGCTCCATGTTGATGATGATGGTTGTAGTACAGTTTCACATGACCCCTGGCCTGCTCCATGTTGATGATGATGGTTGTAGTACAGTTTCACATGACCCCTGGTCTGCTCCATGTTGATGATGATGGTTGTAGTACAGTTTCACATGACCCCTGGCCTGCTCCATGTTGATGATGATGGTTGTAGTACAGTTTCACATGACCCCTGGCCTGCTCCATGTTGATGATGATGGTTGTAGTACAGTTTCACATGACCCCTGGCCTGCTCCATGTTGATGATGATGGTTGTAGTACAGTTTCACATGACCCCTGGTCTGCTCCATGTTGATGATGATGGTTGTAGTACAGTTTCACATGACCCCTGATTCCTGATGTCTGATTGTCTTTATCCTGTCTCCTGTAGAGAATATTCTCTTGTTGCATTCCCTCAGTGCATTTTTGATTGTAGTCCTTTCCTGTAATCTTGTTAGACGCTGCTGCATTTTATTTCATACACGTAAAGCTCCCCGACTCACAGTGCTGTATGATTGTATCTCCCCGACTCACAGTGCTGTATGATTGTATCCCCTAGACTGACAGCACTGTATGATTGCATCTCCCCGACTCACAGTGCTATATGATTGCATCTCCCCGACTCACAGTGCTATATGATTGTATCTCCCCGACTCACAGTGCTGTATGATTGTATCTCCCTGACTCACAATGCTGTATGATTGTATCCCCTAGACTGACAGCACTGTATAATTGCATCTCCCTGACTCACATTGCTATATGATTGTATCTCCCCGACTCACAGTGCTATATGATTGTATCTCCCCGACTCACAGTGCTATATGATTGCATCTCCCTGACTCACAGTGCTATATAATTGTATCTCCCCGACTCACAGTGCTATATGATTGTATCTCCCCGACTCACAGTGCTGTATGATTGTATCCCCTAGACTGACAGCACTGTATGATTGCATCTCCCAGACTGACAGTGCTGTATGATTGTATCCCCCATACCAACAGTGCTGTATGATTGTATCCCCCATACCAACAGTGCTGTATGATTGTATCCCCCATTCCAACAGTGCTGTATGATTGCATCTGCCCGACTCACAGTGCTGTATGATTGTATCCCCCATACTGACAGCACTGTATGATTGTAACCCCCAGACCCAGGATGCTGCTATGATTGTATCCCCCAGACCTAGGACACCGCTATGATTGTATCCCCCAGACCCAGGATGCTGCTATGATTGTATCCCCAGACCCAGAATGCCGCTATAATTGTATCCCTCAGACCCAGGATGCTGCTATGATTGTATCCCCCAGACCCAGGATGCTGCTTTGATTGTATCCCCCAGACTGACAGCAGTGTATGATTGCATCTCCCCGACTCACAGTGCTGTATGATTGTATCCCCCATACTGACAGCACTGTATGATTGTAACCCCCAGACCCAGGATGCTGCTATGATTGTATCCCCCAGACCAAGGATGCCGCTATGATTGTATCCCCCAGACTGACAGCATTGTATGATTGCATCTCCCTGACTCACAGTGCTGTATGATTGTATCCCCCATACCAACAGTGTTGTATGATTGTATCCCCCAGACCCAGGATGCCACTATGATTGTATCCCCCAGACCAAGAATGCCGCTATGATTGTATTCCCCAGACTGACAGCACTGTATGATTGCATCTCCCTGACTCACAGTGCTGTATGATTGTATCCCCAAGACCTATGATGCTGCTATGATTGTATCCCCCATACCAACAGTGCTGTATGATTGTATCCCCCACACCAACAGTGCTGTATGATTGTATCCCCCAGACCCAGGATGCCGCTATGATGCCCAGTGACTTCAAGCGTCCAGGCTACTACCTGTGCTCCTACAACTATGTGATCACAGCTGATGCCAGTGCCAGTTGCTCCGTGGTTGGCGTCACTGCTGGAGCATCCATCATTGCCCATGGTATGTCTCTCTGAATACCAGTGTCAGTCCGTAGTATGTCTGTGCCAGTCATTTGTCCACGGTATGTCTGTCTGAATACCAGTGTCAGTCCGTAGTATGTCTGTGCCAGTCATTTGTCCACGGTATGTCTCTCTGAATACCAGTGTCAGTCCGTAGTATGTCTGTGCCAGTCATTTGTCCACGGTATGTCTGTCTGAATACCAGTGTCAGTAGTATGTCTGTACCAGTCATTTGTCCACGGTATGTCCGTCTAAATACCAGTGTTTGTCCATAGTATGTCTGCACCAGACATTTAAACATGGTATGTGTGATATGTCACTCTGGCTCATTCTATCTGGACTTTATCTTCATCATCATCATTAGTTTATGGTGCTGTCAGTGATGTTCTTCTAGTTTGGTTTGTATTGTTCTCAGTGATGTTCTAGTTGTCATGTTTGGTTTGTATTGTTCTCAGTGATGTTCTAGTTGTCATGTTTGGTTTGTATTGTTCTCAGTGATGTTTGGTTTGTATTGTTCTCAGTGATGTTCTAGTCATGTTTGGTTTGTATTGTTCTCAGTGATGTTCTAGTTGTCATGTTTGGTTTGTATTGTTCTCAGTGATGTTCTAGTTGTCATGTTTGGTTTGTATTGTTCTCAGTGATGTTCTACTTGTCATGTTTGGTTTTTATTGTTCTCAGTGATGTTCTACTTGTCATGTTTGGTTTGTATTGTTCTCAGTGATGTTCTAGTTGTCATGTTTGGTTTTTATTGCTCTCAGTGATGTTCTAGTTGTCATGTTTGGTTTTTATTGCTCTCAGTGATGTTCTACTTGTCATGTTTGTTTTTTATGTTCTCAATGATGTTCTAGTTGTCATGTTTGGTTTGTATTGTTCTCAGTGATGTTCTAGTTGTCATGTTTGGTTTGTATTGTTCTCAGTGATGTTCTAGTTGTCATGTTTGGTTTGTATTGTTCTCAGTGATGTTCTAGTTGTTATGTTTGGTTTTTATTGTTCTCAGTGATGTTCTACTTGTCATGTTTGGTTTTTATTGTTCTCAGTGATGTTTTACTTGTTATGTTTGGTTTTTATTGTTCTCAGTGATGTTCTACTTGTCATGTTTGGTTTTTATTGTTCTCAGTGATGTTCTACTTGTCATGTTTGGTTTTTATTGTTCTCAGTGATGTTTTACTTGTTATGTTTGGTTTTTATTGTTCTCAGTGATGTTCTACTTGTCATGTTTGGTTTTTATTGTTCTCAGTGATGTTTTACTTGTCATGTTTGGTTTTTATTGTTCTCAGTGATGTTCTACTTGTCATGTTTGGTTTTTATTGTTCTCAGTGATGTTTTACTTGTCATGTTTGGTTTTTATTGTTCTCAGTGATGTTCTACTTGTCATGTTTGGTTTTTATTGCTCTCAGTGATGTTTTACTTGTTATGTTTGGTTTTTATTGTTCTCAGTGATGTTTTACTTGTTATGTTTGGTTTTTATTGTTCTCAGTGATGTTCTAGTTGTTATGTTTGGATTTTATTGTTCTCAGTGATGTTCTAGTTGTCATGTTTGGTTTTTATTGCTCTCAGTGATGTGTCCATACATATTCTACGATGTCAATGATGTTCTGGATGTTATGTTCTGATTGATGTGTTCAGTTTGACAACCATGCTTATTGCCTGCACATTTGATGGTGTCCACTAGGATTGGCCCCAGTCAGTCCTGACTTGAAGACAGATCACTTACAGCTGAAGAGTACAGAGTTTGTTCGAACATTATCACAAGGTATGTTGTTACATAATTGATGTTCTTATTGTATTGCTAGTCTGCTAAACATGCGATAACCTTCAGTGTCCTGAAGATCTAGTTTTGATTGCTAAAAATGAAACACAGCTGCTAGAAATGTCATAATTGTTACAAAAAGTGAAAATAAGGGTCTTAGTATGAACAGCATATGTAACACAGGGAAGCGATCAGGGGGTGAATAAGTACAGGGACAGTATCGAGATATGCCAGAACCCGAGGAAGTAAATACAGGAACACAAATTGCTTTAAACATGACAGCCAAAGCATAAATCTTTCACTTAGACAAGCAGCCAACGTGAGAGACAGACAAGCTTTAAGAAGGGTAGATATAACCATAAATCAGGAGGGTGACCCAGGTCACTGGTACTCAAGGCGGTCAGTTCAGGCCGCCAAGCAAGATAACTCTCAAGATGGTCAGTCCAGGCCCCCAAGCAAGATAACTCTCAAGGCGGTCAGTCCAGGCCGCCAAGCAAGATAACTCTCAAGGCGGTCAGTCCAGGCCGCCAAGCAAGATAACTCTCAAGGCGGTCAGTCCAGGCCCCCAAGCAAGATAACTCTCAAGGCGGTCAGTCCAGGCCGCCAAGCAAGATAACTGAGGAGAGATTAGATAGAAGGTAACAGAGAATCAAAATATGACAGGTGACAGGAATGAGAAATGTCTGAGGCCTTGTAGCGGTCGACAAACACTGGAGCTTGTGGAGAGAGTGAGTTGACAATATGGCCGGGTAGCGGCCGACAAACACTGGAGCTTGTGGAGAGAGTGAGTTGACAATATGGCCAGGTAGCGGCCGACAAACACTGGAGCTTGTGGAGAGAGAGAGTTGACAATATGGCCGGGTAGCGGCCGACAAACACTGGAGCTTGTGGAGAGAGAGTTGACAATATGGCCAGGTAGCGGCCGACAAACACTGGAGCTTGTGGAGAGAGTGAGTTGACAATATGGCCGGGTAGCAGCCGACAAACACTGGAGCTTGTGGAGAGAGTGAGTTGACAATATGGCCGGGTAGCGGCCGACAAACACTGGAGCTTGTGGAGAGAGAGTTGACAATATGGCCGGGTAGCGGCCGACAAACACTGGAGCTTGTGGAGAGAGTGAGTTGACAATATGGCCGGGTAGCGGCCGACAAACACTGGAGCTTGTGGAGAGAGAGTTGACAATTTGGCCGAGTGGCGGTCGACAAACACTGGAGCTTGTGGAGAGAGTGAGTTGACAATATGGCCGGGTAGCGGCTGACAAACACTGGAGCTTGTGGAGAGAGTGAGTTGACAATATGGCCGGGTAGCGGCCGACAAACACTCGAGCTTGTGGAGAGAGAGTTGACAATATGGCCGTGTAGCGGCCGACAAACACTGGAGCTTGTGGAGAGAGAGTTGACAATATGGCCGGGAAGCGGCCGACAAACACTGGAGCTTGTGGAGAGAGAGTTGACAATTTGGCCGAGTGGCGGTCGACAAACACTGGAGCTTGTGGAGAGAGAGTTGACAATTTGGCCGAGTGGCGGTCGACAAACACTGGAGCTTGTGGAGAGAGTGAGTTGACAATATGGCCGGGTAGCGGCCGACAAACACTGGAGCTTGTGGAGAGAGAGTTGACAATATGGCCGGGTAGCGGCCGACAAACACTGGAGCTTGTGGAGAGAGAGTTGACAATATGGCCGGGTAGCGGCCGACAAACACTGGAGCTTGTGGAGAGAGAGTTGACAATTTGGCCGAGTGGCGGTCGACAAACACTGGAGCTTGTGGAGAGAGTGAGTTGACAATATGGCCGAGTGGCGGTCGACAAACACTGGAGCTTGTGGAGAGAGAGAGAGAGAGTTGACAATATGGCCAGGTAGCGGCCGACAAACACTGGAGCTTGTGGAGAGAGAGTTGACAATATGGCCGGGTAGCGGCCGACAAACACTGGAGCTTGTGGAGAGAGAGTTGACAATATGGCCGGGTAGCGGCCGACAAACACTGGAGCTTGTGGAGAGAGAGTTGACAATTTGGCCGAGTGGCGGTCGACAAACACTGGAGCTTGTGGAGAGAGTGAGTTGACAATATGGCCGAGTGGCGGCCGACAAACACTGGAGCTTGTGGAGAGAGAGAGAGAGAGTTGACAATATGGCCAGGTAGCGGCCGACAAACACTGGAGCTTGTGGAGAGAGAGTTGACAATATGGCCGGGTAGCGGCCGACAAACACTGGAGCTTGTGGAGAGAGAGTTGACAATTTGGCCGAGTGGCGGTCGACAAACACTGGAGCTTGTGGAGAGAGTGAGTTGACAATATGGCCGAGTGGCGGTCGACAAACACTGGAGCTTGTGGAGAGAGAGAGAGAGAGTTGACAATATGGCCGAGTGGCGGTCGACAAACACTGGAGCTTGTGGAGAGAGAGAGAGAGTTGACTATATGGCTGAGGGGCGGTCGACAAACACTGGAGCTTGTGGAGAGAGAGAGAGAGAGAGAGAGAGTTGACTAAATGGCAGAGTGATGGTTGTGGTAAGCTAGTTTGGCGGAATTTATCGTCGCCTGGAGATCCCCTATAATCCTACCTAATAATTTACAGGGGCTCGAATTAAGAAAGTCTAGGGGAATTCTAATGGTCCCTGAGTTCATAAAGAAAGGAAGGAAAATACAGAAAATCAAATCAATAAGGTGAATCCCCGGAATATAATGGAATACATAATTGTTTTTCTAACTAAATTCAGAAAACCAAAGTTCAACACTTTGTAAATTGAACTCAAATAAATCACAATGTACAATACTTCGATGTTTGAGTTTTCAAAAAAACAACAATTGTATTGATATAATGCTGACTAAGAATCCTAACAAATTATTCAACTCAAAAGGAAATTAACTCATCATTCCACATGAAAAAAAAAAAACATTTCAATGTATCAACTTCACTCATCTCAACAATCGTTCAAGCTGAATACGGCGATCTGTGGTATGGACAATACACTGGCGGCAACAGTTGTAGTGATTAGATATCTGCATAAGTCTTCAGTTCATTTCGGAATCTCCTTCTATAATGTTGTTAACCATCCATAGGGATACCGGGGACCTGAGAAAATACATCAATCAGCCTTGTGTTGAGGATTATGTCGACACATCTGGGGCAGGTGGAGGTGTTGCGGTGTTTGTGGTGTTTTCAGATTAGTAAGGGAAAGAGCAAGGTTCATACTTTGTCTTTCTCCACGAGCAATATCAATAATCAATCTCTCCACTCTGTTATAATATATTGTTTTATACATATCCAAATTATTGCACGATCATATAAAACTTGACATAATTAAGAGGACACACGCTCGCCTGCGGATTGGACAGTCATTAGTTTAAGTCCCAACAGATCCAGGTCGACTTCGCCTCGAATGGACACCAGGTATAGTCATGGGGAGTAAAGGCAGCAGGTGTGATGTTGACCACATCAACGCCCAGGTACCACTTGGTCTATAAACATAGACCAACCCTATATGCCCACACAGCTGACGACTTTTACTCAAATTGTATGTTGCATAATATAATAAACATAAGCAACGTAATGTACTCCAACTGATGATACCACATGGCACAGGATGATGGTTTATACTGTAAGATCTTTCCGCAAGGAAACCAAATGAAAATTTTTAGAAAAGATGACAGAGGAAAGGAGGGTTCGCTAATACATAGTCCTAACTGTGAATAGTAATCTAAAGAACGGTATAATATGAAGGGACTAGTAAATAGTTACCATTGTCCAATGGACAAGTATCAAGGTTGATGAAGTCACGGAATATTTATACAGTGGTAGAATACAGAATGGTAGGATCTCTATAAAATATTTCAGGATACAGCTAAGGCTTTCAGGGGATCTCAGCTACTCCCTACCATTATAAATCTCACCTGAATTTGTATGATTTTATAATTATTATTATTTCTTGGTGGTAGGCCGATGGAATGGCATAGGAAATGTCCTAGACACTACAGGCCGCCTTCTCAAGTTATAATTTATGAGGCGTTGATAAATACATCTGGTCTCTAGGAATGCAGGCAGAAGAATGCCCGCTCTAACTCAAGCTTGGCGTCAGTAAGAAGAAGTTCCTTGTATACATGAGCAAGGAGAAAACCGGTTTCCAGGAATATTCAAATAAAACCCTAGAAATAATCAACCTACAGTTGCAAATTTGAAAATGACGATAAGTCAAAGCAACTAGAAGGTGTAGACATTATTATTTTACCCGATAAAGGTATAGATCAATATAAGGGACTATATACCTTTCCGGACGGGTCAAAGTTTGAAATTTTTGTCGAGGGGGGGTGGGGGGGGGGGGGGGGGATACCAGGTCCCGACTCGACGATTATGTGTAGTGGCGGGTCATTCCTTGACAATTGTCACCACACCTATTGACTTCACAAGGGATGATTGTCACCACACCTTTTGACTTCACAAGGGATGATTGTCACCACACCTATTGACTTCACAAAGGATGATTGTCATCATACCTATTGGCTTCACAAGGGATGATTGTTACCACACCTATTGACTTCACAAGTGATGATTGTCACCACACCTATTGGCTTCACAAGTGATGATTGTCACCACACCTTTTAGCTTCGCAAGTGATGATTGTCACCACACCTATTGGCTTCACAAGTAATGATTGTCACCACATCTATTGACTTCACAAGTGATGACATCTATGGCAGTGTCAGCCAAGAATCAGTCGGCACACTCAGATGTGTCTGACATGACACCCAGTTGTATCTGACATGACACCTTGTTGTTTTTCCCATGGAGGAAGTTGTCAAGCTCAACAAGTTCATTTTGAGCAGGCTTTCTTCATTTTCAGACACCATTTCCAGCTGTAGAAATGTTCTGGTCTCGTGTGCCACACCCAGTTCTTCAGATGTACCTACACCACCTCTGTTATCAAGTCCACTTTTGTTCAGATGTACCTACACCACCTCCGTCATCAAGTCCATATTTGTTCAGATGTACTTACATCACCTCCGTCATCAAGTCCATTTTTGTTCAGATGTACCTACACCACCTCCGTCATCAAGTCCATGTTTGTTCAGATGTACCTACACCACCTCCGTCATCAAGTCCATGTTTGTTCAGATGGTGGGCATAATATAAACAACATTTACGTTTTGCTGATGACACAGTCTTGATAGCAACAAGTCAGAAAGAATTACAGGAAATGATAGACATTGTGGTGTTAGAAAGTGGAAGAATGGGCTTCAGAAGTAATGGTGGTATCAAAGAAACGAATTATTCCTAAGTGTGTAATAAAAGTTAATGGTGTTATTTTAGGATAAGTACAGAAATTTAAGGATCTGGGCACATGGATAACATCAGATGGAAGATGCATAACTGAGATAAGAAACAAAATAGGACAGGCAAAAACTGCATTTTATAAAATGAAAAACATCTTGTGCAATATATCCTTGTCATTGAGAGTTAGAAAAAGAATTCTTGCTTGCTACATACATCCAGTTTTAACATATGGCTGTGAATCCTGGAGAATCGGTAGGCAGGTCAAACAATTTCTGGAGGCCTCGGAGATGTGGTTTTACAAAAGAATGCTTAGAATACCTTGGACAGCCAAAAAGAGCAACCAAGAGGTTTTGAAAGAGGCGGGAGCCCGAAGACAACTTATCACAGACATCAGAAGGAGACAGTCATCATTTTTTAGCCATGTTATGAGAAGAGGGAAAATAGAACATGTTGTGACCACTGGAAAGATCTGTGGAAGGAGAGATGGAAGACAACGAAAGAAGATTCTTGACAGTCTTGTTGCATGGCATGGAGGTGTGTCGGCACACAAACTGATACATGCTGCAGGAGATCGCAGATTATGGAGAGGCATGATCGCCAAAGCCAGTCTGCAAGGCACCTGATGATGATAATGATGATGATATGATGATATTATGGCAGATTATTACCCAGTTACACTCCTGATATTATCATGTGCTACTGTGATTGACAGATGCACCAGCCACTTACCGGGCATTAGACAAATTATCCAGACTTGTCAAGGACACCATCTGTTTGACTCTCATCAACAAACTTGTCACAGGTTAGAATTGTTGTTGTTGGCACTGATGTTTTTGTCTCCTTGTCAGGTAGTTATTTAAACATTGTTGTTGTTGGCACTGATGTTTTTCTCTCCTTGCCAGGTAGTTATTTAAACATTGTTGTTGTTGGCACTGATGTTTTTGTCTCCTTGTCAGGTAGTTATTTAAACGTTGTTGTTGTTGGCACTGATGTTTTTGTCTCCTTGTCAGGTAGTTATTTAAACATTGTTGTTGTTGGCACTGATGTTTTTCTCTCCTTGCCAGGTAATTTAAACATTGTTGTTGTTGGCACTGATGTTTTTGTCTCCTTGCCAGGTAGTTATTTAAACATTGTTGTTGGCACTGATGTTTTTGTCTCCTTGCCAGGTAGTTATTTAAACATTGTTGTTGTTGGCACTGATGTTTTTGTCTCCTTGCCAGGTTGTTATATTTCTATGGATTTTTGGATGTGGCTTGTCTCATTATGGAAAGTTGTCTGTCTAGAATAAAACATATTTTTTTTTTATATTCTCTCTTTGTTTCCTCTTTCATCATCTGTCACTTCAACACTTTCTGGTTCTCACTGAAGCTGTTTCTCTCTCTCTGTTTCACTGTCACTCTCTAATTCTTATTCTTTATCTTCTTTTCTTCTTATTTGTTCATCTATACAAGGGAATTTGCCACATTGTATTGTGGTTTACAGCTAGGCTTTGATGTTAGCACCTGAGGCCCAACACACCTGATTTCAGAAAACCCTTAATGAGTCACCTGTTCTTGACATGTCTAAGGGCATTCAATCTTTCTTTTTTTTCAAATGGGGCCTGGAATCCAGATGGGTAGTTCTCATTCAGGTTGTCACTCTGACTTTGTCTCTCACTGTCTTTAGTTTTCATTCAGGTTGTCACTCTGACTTTGTCTCTCACTCTCTTTAGTTCTCATTCAGGTTGTCACTCTGACTTTGTCTCTCACTGTCTTCAGTTCTCACTCCAGTTCTCACTCTGACTTTGTCTCTCAATGTCTTCAGTTCTCACTCTGACTTTGTCTCTCACTGTCTTCAGTTCTCACTCCAGTTCTCACTCTGACTTTGTCTCTCACTGTATTCAGTTCTCACTTCAGTTCTCACTCTGACTTTGTCTCTCAATGTCTTCAGTTCTCACTCTGACTTTGTCTCTCAATGTCTTCAGTTCTCACTCTGACTTTGTCTCTCACTGTCTTCAGTTCTCACTTCAGTTCTCACTCTGACTTTGTCTCTCACTCTTCAGTTCTCACTCTGACTTTGTCTCTCAATGTCTTCAGTTCTCACTCTGACTTTGTCTCTCACTGTCTTCAGTTCTCACTCTGACTTTGTCTCTCACTGTTTTCAGTTCTCACTCCAGTTCTCACTCTGACTTTGTCTCTCACTGTCTTCAGTTCTCACTTCAGTTCTCACTCTGACTTTGTCTCTCAATGTCTTTAGTTCTCACTCTGACTTTGTCTCTCAATGTCTTCAGTTCTCACTCTGACTTTGTCTCTCACTGTCTCCAGTTCTCACTCCAGTTCTCACTCTGACTTTGTCTCTCACTGTCTTCAGTTCTCACTTCAGTTCTCACTCTGACTTTGTCTCTCAATGTCTTCAGTTCTCACTCTGACTTTGTCTCTCACTGTCTTCAGTTCTCCTCTGACTTTGTCTCTCAATGTCTTCAGTTTTCACTCTGACTTTGTCTCTCACTGTCTTCAGTTCTCACTCTGACTTTGTCTCTCAATGTCTTCAGTTCTCACTTCAGTTCTCACTCTGACTTTGTCTCTCACTGTCTTCAGTTCGCACTCTGACTTTGTCTCTCAATGTCTTCAGTTCTCACTCTGACTTTGTCTCTCAATGTCTTCAGTTCTCACTCTGACTTTGTCTCTCACTGTCTTCAGTTCTCACTCCAGTTCTCACTCTGACTTTGTCTCTCACTGTCTTCAGTTCTCACTTCAGTTCTCACTCTGACTTTGTCTCTCAATGTCTTCAGTTCTCACTCTGACTTTGTCTCTCACTGTCTTCAGTTCTCACTCTGACTTTGTCTCTCAATGTCTTCAGTTCTCACTCTGACTTTGTCTCTCAATGTCTTCAGTTCTCACTCTGACTTTGTCTCTCACTGTCTTCAGTTCTCACTCTGACTTTGTCTCTCAATGTCTTCAGTTCTCACTCTGACTTTGTCTCTCACTGTCTTCAGTTCTCACTCTGACTTTGTCTCTCACTGTCTTCAGTTCTCACTCTGACTTTGTCTCTCAATGTCTTCAGTTCTCACTCTGACTTTGTCTCTCAATGTCTTCAGTTCTCACTCTGACTTTGTCTCTCAATGTCTTCAGTTCTCACTCTGACTTTGTCTCTCACTGTCTTCAGTTCTCACTCCAGTTCTCACTCTGACTTTGTCTCTCACTGTCCTTAGCTCTCACTTCAGTTCTCACTCTGACTTTGTCTCTCACTGTCTTCAGTTCTCACTCTGACTTTGTCTCTCAATGTCTTCAGTTCTCACTCTGACTTTGTCTCTCACTGTCTTCAGTTCTCACTCTGACTTTGTCTCTCACTGTCCTTAGTTCTCACTTCAGTTCTCACTCTGACTTTGTCTCTCACTGTCTTCAGTTCTCACTCTGACTTTGTCTCTCACTGTTTTCAGTTCTCACTCCAGTTCTCACTCTGACTTTGTCTCTCAATGTCTTCAGTTCTCACTCTGACTTTGTCTCTCACTGTCTTCAGTTCTCACTCTGACTTTGTCTCTCACTGTCTCCAGTTCTCACTCTGACTTTGTCTCTCACTGTCTTCAGTTCTCACTGCAGTTCTCACTCTGACTTTGTCTCTCAATGTCTTCAGTTCTCACTCTGACTTTGTCTCTCACTGTCTTCAGTTCTCACTCTGACTTTGTCTCTCAATGTCTTCAGTTCTCACTCTGACTTTGTCTCTCACTGTCTTCAGTTCTCACTCTGACTTTGTCTCTCACTGTCTTCAGTTCTCACTCTGACTTTGTCTCTCAATGTCTTCAGTTCTCACTCTGACTTTGTCTCTCAATGTCTTCAGTTCTCACTCTGACTTTGTCTCTCACTGTCTTCAGTTCTCACTTCAGTTCTCACTCTGACTTTGTCTCTCAATGTCTTCAGTTCTCACTCTGACTTTGTCTCTCACTGTCTTCAGTTCTCACTCTGACTTTGTCTCTCAATGTCTTCAGTTCTCACTCTGACTTTGTCTCTCACTGTCTTCAGTTCTCACTCTGACTTTGTCTCTCACTGTCTTCAGTTCTCACTCTGACTTTGTCTCTCAATGTCTTCAGTTCTCACTCTGACTTTGTCTCTCAATGTCTTCAGTTCTCACTCTGACTTTGTCTCTCAATGTCTTCAGTTCTCACTCTGACTTTGTCTCTCACTGTCTTCAGTTCTCACTCCAGTTCTCACTCTGACTTTGTCTCTCACTGTCCTTAGTTCTCACTTCAGTTCTCACTCTGACTTTGTCTCTCACTGTCTTCAGTTCTCACTCTGACTTTGTCTCTCACTGTCTTCAGTTCTCACTCTGACTTTGTCTCTCACTGTCTTCAGTTCTCACTCTGACTTTGTCTCTCACTGTCCTTAGTTCTCACTTCAGTTCTCACTCTGACTTTGTCTCTCAATGTCTTCAGTTCTCACTCTGACTTTGTCTCTCACTGTCCTTAGTTCTCACTCCAGTTCGCACTCTGACTTTGTCTCTCAATGTCTTCAGTTCTCACTCTGACTTTGTCTCTCAATGTCTTCAGTTCTCACTCTGACTTTGTCTCTCAATGTCTTCAGTTCTCACTCTGACTTTGTCTCTCACTGTCCTTAGTTCTCACTCCAGTTCTCACTCTGACTTTGTCTCTCACTGTCCTTAGTTCTCACTTCAGTTCTCACTCTGACTTTGTCTCTCACTGTCCTTAGTTCTCACTCCAGTTCGCACTCTGACTTTGTCTCTCAATGTCTTCAGTTCTCACTCTGACTTTGTCTCTTACTGTTTTCAGTTCTCACTCTGACTTTGTCTCTCACTGTCTTCAGTTCTCACTCCAGTTCTCACTCTGACTTTGTCTCTCACTGTCTTCAGTTCTCACTTCAGTTCTCACTCTGACTTTGTCTCTCACTGTCTTCAGTTCTCACTCTGACTTTGTCTCTCACTGTCTTCAGTTCTCACTCCAGTTGTCTCTCTGATGGGGTGAGCAATGATGGGGGGACCAATGATGGGGTGACCAATGATGGGGTGAACAATGATGGGGTGAACAATGGTGGGCTGAACAATGATGGGGTGAACAATGGTGGGGTGAACAATGTTGGGGTGACCAATGATGGGGTGACCAATGATGGGGTGACCAATGATGGGGTGAACAATGGTGGGGTGACCAATGATGGGGTGACCAATGATGGGGTGAACAATGATGGGATGAACAATGGTGGGGTGACCAATGGTGGGGTTACCAGTGGTGGGGTGAACAATGATAGGGTGAACAAAGGTGGGGTGAACAATGGTGGAGTGACCAATGATGGGGTGAACAATGGTGGGGTGAACAATGATGGGGTGACCAATGATGGGGTGACCAATGATGGGGTGACCAACGGTGGGGTGACCAACGGTGGGGTGACCAACGGTGGGGTGACTAATGCTGGGGTGACCAATGATGGGGTGACCAATGATGGGGTGAACAATGATGGGGTGACCAATGATGGGGTGACCAATGATGGGGTGACCAATGATGGGGTGACCAATGATGGGGTGACCAATGATGGGGTGAACAATGGTGGGGTGACCAATGGCGGGGTGACCAATGAAGGGGTGACCAATGGTGGTGTGACCAACAGTGGGGTGAACAATGGTGGGGTGACCAATGATGGCGTGAACAATGGTGGGGTGACCAATGATGGGGTGAACAATGGTGGGGTGACCAACAGTGGGGTGAACAATGGTGTTGTGTACAATATATGGGTATATGAAAGGGAAATTCATTATTGACCGTAAACACTTGGTGCGGTGCAGGACACATTGAACGCAATGTGAAGAGAGAGAAAAACGGTTAGCTCCAAGTCCCCGGAGAGGAAGGATGCGGTGATGTAGGTTCTAGACTGGGTGTTGCCAGACTAGTCCTGAACACCCGCATGTTACGCTGGCGTTAGGCATACAGGCTATCAGCGAGAGATGCCTCAGAGGCCGGGCCAGCGTGACAGAAGCTCGTGTAGTGAGATAGGAGATCTCAAGTACGTGTCAGGCCGCACAAGGTATTGTGCATCGGTCTGTATGATCTTTCTAGTGACAGTGTACCCAAGGGATGGGTATCATAGAGACAGACACGTACTCATGAGCAGTGGGTTTGCACGAGCAGGTAATGTTTGCTCGTTGTTAACCACGGAACAGGGTGACAGTAGAAGTAGCCCAGAGCGTCCGGAGAGTGTGTTGCCTTGCCAGTAGGGAATGACTTTGGCAGTATAGAAATTCATGTGGATTCATTGTCTTGGTGTTGAAATACATTAATTCTATTTGATGTTCAACATGTATCCAGCGTCCTTTATTGCTGTTGGGCGGGAGTGGTGACTTTGATCTGTAACACTATTAAGCATACCTGGATACTTGGCAAGTGTGCGGTGCATCAAGCGAGCATTTTCGCACGCGGCAAATAGTGGGGTGACCAATGATGGGGTGACCAATGATGGGGTGACCAATGGTGGGGTGACCAATGATGGGGTGAACAATGGTGGGGTGACTAATGGTGGGGAGACCAATGGCGGGGGGGGTGACCAGTGATGGAGTTCAATGAAGTTTAAACCTGGAATACTACTACTGATTCAATATGATGCTGACACTTTGAAATGTTATGTATAATTTCAGTCTGTAACTGATGCCAGGCCTTGTGCCACAGCTGACTGACATTGTTGTTGTGTCAACAGTGACTGACATTGTTGTTTTGTCCACAGTGACTGACATTGTTATTGTTGTGTCCACTGACTGACATTGTTGTTGTGTCCACAGTGACTGACATTGTTGTTGTTGTGTCCACAGCTGCCGGATTCCCGGAGAGACAAGGCTTGCAGGCTCTGCCCTACGAGACAAAGGTAAACATGTAATCACCTGCGGACACTGGGACCTACGGGGGTAACAAGGGGTGGGGTGGGGGTTGAATGAACATTTATCTGTGAAATGCTTCTGTAGATTCTGTGTAGAGTCATGTTTGAATTCTGTGTCTGGAGTCTCTGCTGAGTTCTCTATATGGAATCTCTGCTGAGTTCTCTATATGGAATCTCTGCTGAGTTCTCTATATGGAATCTCTGCTGAGTTCTCTATATGGAATCTCTGCTGAGTTCTCTATATGGAATCTCTGCTGAGTTCTCTATATGGAATCTCTGCTGAGTTCTCTATATGGAATCTCTGCTGAGTTCTCTATATGGAATCTCTGCTGAGTTCTCTATATGGATTCTCTGCTGAGTTCTCTATATGGAATCTCTGCTGAGTTCTCTATATGGAATCTCTGCTGAGTTCTCTATATGGAATCTCTGCTGAGTTCTCTATATGGAATCTCTGCTGAGTTCTGTATATGGAATATGAGCTGAGTTCTGTATATGGAATATGAGCTGAGTTCTGTAAATGGAATATGAGCTGAGTTCTGTATATGGAATATGAGCTGAGTTCTGAATATGGAATATGAGCTGAGTTCTGTATATGGAATATGAGCTGATTTATGTATATGGAATATGAGCTGAGTTCTGTATCTATATTATTTATTTTCTGAGTCTGTTAACTATAGACTCGGAAACTACTGAACTGATTGCTTTCAAATTTTCACACAACGTTGCCTTTGACTCAAAGCGTGTTTTTCTGTCAGAAAATCGCACACACCATAACAATGTAGCTTCAGCAACGGTCAAATCATTATTTGTTTCGTTGCCGGCCCGGATTTGTTTTTAGTTGATTGGACATTTTTTTACTGCTGAGCAGGGCTGCCAATTGCATTATTATTAGGGCTGTACCGAATAGTGATTTTCACTATTCGGCCGAATACTAATAGCTGCACCAACTATTCGGCCGAATAGTGAATCATCATCATCAGGTGCTTTGCCGACTGGCATGGGCAATTATGCCTCGCCACAATCTGCGATCTCCTGCAGCATGTATTAGTTCGTGTGCAGACACACCTCCATGCTATGCAACAAGAGTGTCAAGCATCTTCTCTCGTTGTCTTCCTCTATTCCTCCTTCCACAGATCTTTCCAGTGGTCACCACATGTTCCATTTTCGCTCATCTTATAACATGTCCGAAAAATGATGACTGTCTTCTTCTGATGTCTGTGAGTAGTTGTCTTCGGGCTCCCGCTTCTATCAAAACCTCTTGGTTGCTTTTTTTTTTTTTGGCTATCCAATGTATTTTAAGCATTGTTCTGTAAAATCACATCTCTGAGGCCTCAAGAAATTGTTTGACCTGCCTACCGATTGTCCAGGACTCACAGCCATATGTTAAAACTGGATGTATGTAGCAAGCAAGAATTCTTTTTCTAACCTTCAATGACAAAGATATTTTGCATAAGATGTTCTTCATTGTATAAAATGCAGTTTTTGCCTGTCCTATTTTGTTTCTTATTTCAGTAATGCATCTTCCATCTGATGTTATCCATGTGCCCAAATACATAAATTTCTGTACTTGTCCCAAAATAAAACCAGTGACTTTGATTACACATTTAGGAATAATTATACCCACCATTACTTCTGTCTTCCCACTTTTCAAACTGAGGCCCATTCTTCCACTTTCATGTATAAAATAGATCTAAAAAAAATATCCATAATGTCAAATGTACGCTGCAATTTTACTTCACAAAATTTAGCACAAAATAAACATTTAAAAACATTTCATGTTTTGAATCCTTCAGTCAGTAAGTCTGTGGTAACTAATACCTAGGAATGAAAGTATTCTTAGTTTTATAACAAGTAACTAAACTTGGAAATTGTCATTGAGAGCTTAGTTAATCCATGAAAGCGGCATTAGCTTTCCAAAAAAAAATTGTTCCATGTTGTCAGCATTAAGGCAGCTTCTTGTCTCACTGAAGGTATCTCCAGCTGTGCTAAACAGACGTTCGCTTGGTACGATCGTATTTGGTGCACAAAGATAACTCTTGACAGTATGAACCAAGGTGGGAAATCAAATATATGTTTATTTTTCACCAGTCCAGAAACGGGTGTAAGGTAACGACTATTCGTATTCGGCCCGACCGCAACTATTCGGCCGAATACCAAATAGTTATTAAGTCCACTATTCGGCCCCGAAGCGAATACGAAGAGAATATTCGGTACAGCCCTAATTATTATATAATTTTTGCTAGAAGTTGTTTACTATGAGTGTTCTCACATGGTATTTTCTAATTATATTTCGATTGGATCAGAGTGCATCATCTTGTTCTGCACCTAAATATAGTAATGAAATTACAGCTGTCCTCATAGAGACTTCGAGAAAGCCAGTACAACTGTGTTCACTTTGATAGGGCACATCATCGTATCGTATTTTTAGATTATTCATTTGCAAAATATTTCTCCGCTAGAAGAAGGAAACGATTTTTGGGGGAAGGAATGCCATGGTTACCAAAACTATTTGATTATTTCAACTATGCACAATATCCTAACTCCTGACAAACAAGTAATGACGTCTCCCTGTTACATGAATATGGAATATGATCTCAGTTCTGCATATGTAATATGAGCTGAGTTCTGTATATGTAATATGAGCTAAGTTCTGTATATGTAATATGAGCTGAGTTCTGTATATGTAATATGAGCTGAGTTCTGTATATGTAATATGAGCTGAGTTCTGTATATGTAATATGAGCTGAGTTCTGTGTATATAATATGAGCTGAGTTCTGTATATGTAATATGAGCTGAGTTCTGTATATGTAATATGAGCTGTGTTCTGTATATGTAATATGAGCTGAGTTCTGTATATGTAATATGAGCTGAGTTCTGTGTATGTAATATGAGCTGAGTTCTGTGTATGTAATATGAGCTGGGTTCTGTATATGTAATATAAGCTGAGTTCTGTGTATGTAATATGAGCTGAGTTCTGTATATGGAATATGAGCTGAGTTCTGTATATGTAATATGAGCTGAGTTCTGTGTATGTAATATGAGCTGAGTTCTGTATATGTAATATGAGCTAAGTTCTGTATATGTAATATGAGCTAAGTTCTGTATATGTAATATGAGCTGAGTTCTGTATATGTAATATGAGCTGAGTTCTGTATATGTAATATGAGCTAAGTTCTGTATATGTAATATGAGCTGAGTTCTGTATATGGAATATGAGCTGAGTTCTGTATATGGAATATGAGCTGAGTTATGTGTATGTTATATGAGCTGAGTTATGTGTATGTAATATGAGCTAAGTTCTGTATATGTAATATGAGCTAAGTTCTGTATATGTAATATGAGCTAAGTTCTGTATATGTAATATGAGCTGAGTTCTGTATATGTAATATGAGCTGAGTTCTGTGTATGTAATATGAGCTAAGTTCTGTATATGTAATATGAGCTGAGTTCTGTATATGTAATATGAGCTGAGTTCTGTGTATGTAATATGAGCTGAGTTCTGTATATGTAATATGAGCTAAGTTCTGTATATGTAATATGAGCTGAGTTCTGTATATGTAATATGAGCTGAGTTCTGTGTATGTAATATGAGCTAAGTTCTGTATATGTAATATGAGCTGAGTTCTGTATATGTAATATGAGCTAAGTTCTGTGTATGTAATATGAGCTGAGTTCTGTGTATGTAATATGAGCTAAGTTCTGTGTATGTAATATGAGCTGAGTTCTGTATATGTAATATGAGCTGAGTTCTGTATATGTAATATGAGCTAAGTTCTGTGTATGTAATATGAGCTGAGTTCTGTATATGTAATATGAGCTAAGTTCTGTGTATGTAATATGAGCTGAGTTCTGTATATGTAATATGAGCTAAGTTCTGTGTATGTAATATGAGCTGAGTTTTGTATATGTAATATGAGCTAAGTTTTGTGTATGTAATATGAGCTGAGTTCTGTATATGTAATATGAGCTGGGTTCTGTATATGTAATATGAGCTGAGTTCTGTGTATGTAATATGAGCTGAGTTCTGTATATGTAATATGAGCTGGGTTCTGTATATGTAATATGAGCTGAGTTCTGTGTATGTAATATGAGCTGAGTTCTGTGTATGTAATATGAGCTGAGTTCTGTATATGTAATATGAGCTGAGTTCTGTGTATGTAATATGAGCTGAGTTCTGTATATGTAATATGAGCTGAGTTCTGTATATGTAATATGAGCTGAGTTCTGTATATGTAATTTGAGCTGAGTTCTGTATATGTAATATGAGCTGAGTTCTGTATATGTAATATGAGCTGAGTTCTGTATATGTAATATGAGCTGAGTTCTGTATATGTAATATGAGCTGAGTTCTGTATATGTAATATGAGCTGAGTTCTGTATATGTAATATGAGCTGAGTTCTGTGTATGTAATATGAGCTGAGTTCTGTGTATGTAATATGAGCTGAGTTCTGTATATGTAATATGAGCTGAGTTCTGTATATGTAATATGAGCTGAGTTCTGTATATGTAATATGAGCTGAGTTCTGTATATGTAATATGAGCTGAGTTCTGTATATGTAATATGAGCTGAGTTCTGTGTATATAATATGAGCTGAGTTCTGTATATGGAATATGAGCTGAGTTCTGTATATGTAATATGAGCTGAGTTCTGTATATGTAATATGAGCTGAGTTCTGTATATGTAATATGAGCTGAGTTCTGTATATGTAATATGAGCTGAGTTCTGTATATGTAATATGAGCTGAGTTCTGTATATGTAATATGAGCTAAGTTCTGTGTATGTAATATGAGCCGAGTTCTGTATATGTAATATGAGCTGAGTTCTGTATATGTAATATGAGCTGAGTTCTGTATATGTAATATGAGCTGAGTTCTGTATATGTAATATGAGCTGAGTTCTGTATATGTAATATGAGCTGAGTTCTGTATATGTAATATGAGCTGAGTTCTGTATATGTAATATGAGCTGAGATCTGTATATGTAATATGAGCTGAGTTCTGTATATGTAATATGAGCTGAGTTCTGTATATGTAATATGAGCTGAGTTCTGTATATGTAATATGAGCTGAGTTCTGTATATGTAATATGAGCTGAGTTCTGTATATGTAATATGAGCTGAGTTCTGTATATGTAATATGAGCTGAGTTCTGTATATGTAATATGAGCTGAGTTCTGTATATGTAATATGAGTTGAGTTCTGTATATGTAATATGAGCTGAGTTCTGTATATGTAATATGAGCTGAGTTCTGTATATGTAATATGAGCTGAGTTCTGTATATGTAATATGAGCTGAGTTCTGTATATGTAATATGAGCTGAGTTCTGTATATGTAATATGAGCTGAGTTCTGTATATGTAATATGAGCTGAGTTCTGTATATGTAATATGAGCTGAGTTTTGTGTATGGAGTCTTTGTTTCCTAAACTTCGTAGGAGGCTGTTCTTTGTTGTGGCCTAATCCTGTTTATTTGAGATTGTTCTTTGTTCTGTGTTGTGGCCTAATCCTGTTTATTTGAGATTTTTCTTTGTTGGAGGTGTTTGTTGTTGGAAGTTGTTTCTTGTTGGAAGTTGTTGTATATTAAAGGCTGTACTTGTATTTTGGAGACCAATCTTTTTTTTTTGTATAGGTGTCCGTGGAGGCTGTTCTTATTCAATGAAAGCTGTTTTTATTCAGTGAAAGCTGTTTTTGTTCAGTAAAGGCTGTTTTTATTGTTGTTGTCTTTTCTTTATTGGAGGCTGTTCCTTGTTGAAGGCTGTTCATGTTTATTAAAGGTAGTTCTTGATTATTCAAAGCTCATTATTTATACACAGATGTCACCAAACTTACAAACCCCAGTTGTCCAGATTTATACCCAGATATTACCAAACTTACAGACCCCAATTGTCTAGATTTATACCCAGATATCACCAAACTTACAGACCCCAGTTGTCCAGATTTATACCCAGATGTTACCAAACTTACAGACCCAAGTTGTCCAGATTTATACACAGATGTCACCAAACTTACAGACCCCAGGTGTCCAGATTTATACCCAAATGTCACCAAACTTACAGACCTAAGTTATCCAGATTTATACACAGATGTCACCAAACTGACAGACCCCAGTTGTCCAGATTTATACCCAGATGTCACCAAATGTACAGACCCCAGGTGTCCAGATTTATACCCAGATGTCACCAAACGTACAGACCACAGTTGTCCAGATTTATACACAGATGTCACCAAACTCACACACCCAAGTTGTCTAGATTTATACCTAGATGTCACCAAACTTACATACCCAAGTTGTCCAAATTTATACCAAGATATCACCAAACTTACAGACTCCAGTTGTGCAGATTTATACCCAGATATCACCAAACTTACAGACCCCAGTTGTCCAGATTTATACCCAGATGTTACCAAACTTACAGAACCCAGTTGTCTGGATTTATACCCAGATGCCACCAAACTTACAGACCCCAGTTGTCCAGATTTATACCCAGATGTCACCAAACTTACAGACCCAAGTTGTCCAGATTTATACACAGATGTCAGCAAACTTACAGACCCCAGTTGTCCAGACTTATACACTGATGTTAACAAACTTACAGACTCCAGTTGTCCAGATTTATACCCAGATTTGATCAAAATTACATAGTTGACTTATTTATACCCAGATATCACCAAACTTATAATTGTCCAGATTTATACCCAAATATCACCAAACTTATAATTGTCCAGATTTATACCCAGATTTCATGAAACTTACAGACACAGTTGTCCAGTTTTTTACCCAGATGCTACGCTAGAGACAGTATGGCTCTGGAAGTTGTGCCCAGTTGGATAGGAACCAGGATGAGCAAGGCAGCTGGGCACCTCATTACATAATACAAGTTATTTTACAAAGTAGGAGACTGATTTTTATGTGTATGGTTTGCAGCTGCGGGTGACCTCATTCCTTGATGCCAGAAGTCTGTGTCACCTGGGACAGACCTGCCGAGAATTTAACACATTGCACAGAGATAAGACACTTTGGAGAATTCTCTACATACGGACGTTTGGAAGTAAGCATGTTTGTAATTGTGGTATGATTGCTGGGTATCAGATACTGCAGTGTGTGCTGTCTGTAATATGATTGCTGGGTATCAGATACTGCAGTGTGTGCTGTCTGTAATATGATTGCTGGGTATCAGATACTGCAGTGTGTGCTGTCTGTAATATGATTGCTGGGTGTCAAATACTGCAGTGTGTGCTGTCTGTAATATGATTGCTGGGTGTCAAATACTGCAGTGTGTGCTGTCTGTAATATGATTGCTGGGTATCAGATACTGCAGTGTGTGCTGTCTGTAATATGATTGCTGGGTATCAGATACTACAGTGTGTGCTGTCTGTAATATGATTGCTGGGTATCAGATACTGCAGTGTGTGCTGTCTGTAATATGATTGCTGGGTATCAGATACTGCAGTGTGTGCTGTCTGTAATATGATTGCTGGGTGTCAAATACTGCAGTGTGTGCTGTCTGTAATATGATTGCTGGGTGTTAGATACTGCAGTGCGTGCTGTCTGTAATATGATTGCTGGGTGTCAGATACTGCAGTGCGTGCTGTCTGTAATATGATTGTTGAGTGTCAGATACTACAGTGTGTATTGTCTGTAATATGATTGCTGGATATCAGATACTGCAGTGTGTGCTGTCTGTAATATGATTGCTGGGTATCAGATACTACAGTGTGTATTGTCTGTAATATGATTGCTGGGTATCAGATACTGCAGTGTGTGCTGTCTGTAATATGATTGCTGGGTATCAGATACTGCAGTGTGTGCTGTCTGTAATATGATTGCTGGGTATCAGATACTGCAGTGTGTGCTGTCTGTAATATGATTGCTGGGTGTCAAATACTGCAGTGTGTGCTGTCTGTAATATGATTGCTGGGTGTTAGATACTGCAGTGCGTGCTGTCTGTAATATGATTGCTGGGTGTCAGATACTGCAGTGCGTGCTGTCTGTAATATGATTGTTGAGTGTCAGATACTACAGTGTGTATTGTCTGTAATATGATTGCTGGATATCAGATACTGCAGTGTGTGCTGTCTGTAATATGATTGCTGGGTATCAGATACTACAGTGTGTATTGTCTGTAATATGATTGCTGGATATCAGATACTGCAGTGTGTGCTGTCTGTAATATGATTGCTGGGTATCAGATACTACAGTGTGTGCTGTCTGTAATATGATTGCTGGGTGTCAGATACTACAGTGTGTGCTGTCTGTAATATGATTGCTGGGTATCAGATACTACAGTGTGTGCTGTCTGTAATATGATTGCTGGGTATCAGATACTACAGTGTGTGCTGTCTGTAATATGATTGCTGGGTATCATATACTACAGTGTGTGCTGTCTGTAGTATGATTGCTGGGTATCATATACTACAGTGTGTGCTGTCTGTAATATGATTGCTGGGTATCAGATACTACAGTGTGTGCTGTCTGTAATATGATTGCTGGGTATCAGATACTACAGTGTGTGCTGTCTGTAATATGATTGCTGGGTATCAGATACTACAGTGTGTGCTGTCTGTAATATGATTGCTGGGTATCATATACTACAGTGTGTGCTGTCTGTAATATGATTGCTGGGTATCATATACTACAGTGTGTGCTGTCTGTAGTATGATTGCTGGGTATCAGATACTACAGTGTGTGTTGTCTGTAATATGATTGCTGGGTATCATATACTGCAGTGTATGTTGTCTGTAATATGATTGCTGGGTATCATATACTGCAGTGTGTGCTGTCTGTAATATGATTGCTGGGTATCATATACTGCAGTGTGTGCTGTCTGTAATATGATTGCTGGGTATCATATACTGCAGTGTATGTTGTCTGTAATATGATTGCTGGGTATCATATACTGCAGTGTGTGCTGTCTGTAATATGATTGCTGGGTATCATATACTGCAGTGTGTGCTGTCTGTAATATGATTGCTGGGTATCATATACTGCAGTGTGTGCTGTCTGTAATATGATTGCTGGGTATCATATACTGCAGTGTATGTTGTCTGTAATATGATTTGTTGGGTATCAGATACTACAGTGTGTGCTGTCTGTAATATGATTGCTGGGTATCATATACTGCAGTGTGTGTTGTCTGTAATATGATTGCTGGGTATCATATACTGCAGTGTATGTTGTCTGTAATATGATTGCTGGGTATCATATACTGCAGTGTGTGTTGTCTGTAATATGATTGCTGGGTATCATATACTGCAGTGTGTGTTGTCTGTAGTATGATTGCTGGGTATCATATACTGCAGTGTATGTTGTCTGTAATATGATTGCTGGGTATCATATACCGCAGTGTGTGCTGTCTGTAATATGATTGCTAGGTATCATATACTGCAGTGTATGTTGTCTGTAATATGATTGCTGGGTATCAGATACTACAGTGTGTGCTGTCTGTAATATGATTGCTGGGTATCAGATACTACAGTGTGTGCTGTCTGTAATATGATTGCTGGGTGTCATATACTACAGTGTGTGCTGTCTGTAATATGATTGCTGGGTGTCATATACTACAGTGTGTGCTGTCTGTAATATGATTGCTGGGTATCAGATACTACAGTGTGTGCTGTCTGTAATATGATTGCTGGGTGTCATATACTACAGTGTGTGCTGTCTGTAATATGATTGCTGGGTATCAGATACTACAGTGTGTGCTGTCTGTAATATGATTGCTGGGTATCAGATACTACAGTGTGTGCTGTCTGTAATATGATTGCTGGGTGTCAGATACTACAGTGTGTGCTGTCTGTAGTATGATTGCTGGGTATCAGATACTACAGTGTGTGCTGTCTGTAATATGATTGCTGGGTATCAGATACTGCAGTGTGTGCTGTCTGTAATATGATTGCTGGGTATCAGATACTGCAGTGTGTGCTGTCTGTAATATGATTGCTGGGTATCAGATACTGCAGTGTGTGCTGTCTGTAATATGATTGCTGGGTGTCAGATACTGCAGTGTGTGCTGTCTGTAATATGATTGCTGGGTATCAGATACTACAGTGTGTATTGTCTGTAATATGATTGCTGGGTATCAGATACTACAGTGTGTGCTGTCTGTAATATGATTGCTGGGTATCAGATACTACAGTGTGTATTGTCTGTAATATGATTGCTGGGTATCAGATACTACAGTGTGTGCTGTCTGTAATATGATTGCTGGGTATCAGATACTACAGTGTGTATTGTCTGTAATATGATTGCTGGGTATCAGATACTACAGTGTGTATTGTCTGTAATATGATTGCTGGGTATCAGATACTACAGTGTGTGCTGTCTGTAATATGATTGCTGGGTATCAGATACTACAGTGTGTATTGTCTGTAATATGATTGCTGGGTATCAGATACTACAGTGTGTATTGTCTGTAATATGATTGCTGGGTATCAGATACTACAGTGTGTATTGTCTGTAATATGATTGCTGGGTATCAGATACTACAGTGTGTATTGTCTGTAATATGATTGCTGGGTATCAGATACTACAGTGTGTGCTGCCTGTAATATGATTTGCTGGGTATCAGATACTACACTGTGTATTGTCTGTAATATGATTTGCTGGGTATCAGATACTACAGTGTGTGCTGTCTGTAATATGATTTGCTGGGTATCAGATACTACAGTGTGTGCTGTCTGTAATATGATTGCTGGGTATCAGATACTACACTGTGTGCTGTCTGTAGTATGATTGCTGGGTATCAGATACTGCACTGTGTGCTGTCTGTAATATGATTTGCTGGGTATCAGATACTACAGTGTGTGCTGTCTGTAATATGATTGCTGGGTATCATATACTGCAGTGTATGTTGTCTGTAATATGATTTGCTGGGTATCAGATACTACAGTGTGTGCTGTCTGTAATATGATTGCTGGGTATCATATACTACAGTGTGTGCTGTCTGTAATATGATTGCTGGGTATCAGATACTACAGTGTGTGCTGTCTGTAATATGATTTGCTGGGTATCATATACTACAGTGTGTGCTGTCTGTAATATGATTTGCTGGGTGTCAGATACTGCAGTGTGTGCTGCCTGTAATATGATTGCTGGGTATCATATACTACAGTGTGTGCTGTCTGTAATATGATTGCTGGGTATCAGATACTGCAGTGTATGTTGTCTATAACATGATTTGCTGGGTATCAGATACTGCAGTGTGTGCTGTCTGTAGTGTGATTGCTGGGTATCAGATACTGCAGTGTGTGCTGTCTGTAGTATGATTGCTGGGTATCAGATACTGCAGTGTGTGCTGTCTGTAATATGATTGCTGGGTATCAGATACTGCAGTGTGTATTGTCTGTAATATGATTGCTGGGTATCAGATACTGCAGTGTGTGCTGTCTGTAATATGATTGCTGGGTATCAGATACTACAGTGTGTGTTGTCTGTAATATGATTGCTGGGTATCAGATACTGCAGTGTGTGCTGTCTGTGATATGATTGCTGGATATCAGATACTACAGTGTGTGTTGCCTGTAATATGATTTGCTGGGTATCATATACTACAGTGTGTGCTGTCTGTAATATGATTGCTGGGTATCATATACTACAGTGTGTGCTGTCTGTAATATGATAGCTGGGTATCATATACTACAGTGTGTGCTGTCTGTAATATGATTGCTGGGTATCATATACTGCAGTGTGTGCTGTCTGTAGTATGATTGCTGGGTATCATATACTGCAGTGTTTGCTGTCTGTAATATGATTGCTGGGTATCAGATACTACAGTGTGTGCTGTCTGTAGTATGATTGCTGGGTATCATATACTACAGTGTGTGCTGTCTGTAATATGATTGCTAGGTATCATATACTACAGTGTGTGCTGTCTGTAATATGATTTGCTGGGTATCAGATACTACAGTGTGTGCTGTCTGTAATATGATTGCTGGGTATCAGATACTACAGTGTGTGCTGTCTGTAATATGATTGCTGGGTATCAGATACTACAGTGTGTGCTGTCTGTAGTATGATTGCTGGGTATCAGATACTGCAGTGTGTGCTGTC